ACTCCCTGCTTTCTCAGCCTCGTCTATACATGGGAGGCCCTTCTTTTAAGGATCAGACTCTGCACCATCTTCGTTTCTCTATTGAGTATCTCCGAAGACAGCAACTGCTCGACGCGAACGGCACAACCCTGAACTTTGCTGGTCTGGTCTCACACTTGTACTTTACAGAGAACTCCAGTTTCGCATTCCACGCGCTGCTCAAGGAGGGTTACTTGCACAGACTCTGCGCAGACATTGATAATAACGCAGAGTCAGTAGTCAACACTTTGATGCTGGTTATGTCGCATCTGTTTGGCCGTGTGTACTGCCGCAAGTCTGATGCGGAATATCGCGAGAAGGTGGTGAAGCCATCCTCCTCGATGGTGTTCCTGCCTCCATTGCCAGAGGAAGCAGCTCAGGTCTTGAACGAGCATGGACAGCAAACGCTTGATATCTTCAGTACCTACGTCCGTACCTTTGTCGACCAGCATGTACAGCAGGCGGATGATGTTCTGCCGCTCACTGCTAGACAAGCCGGAGCCTCATCGGTCGATTCTGCTCCTGGGCTGGGCGAAGTCTCGCTTCCCTCGACCAAGATCCGTTCGCCATTTGTCGCCCTGTCCGGACACACTGACAACTTCAAGTCTATCAGTGAACTGTGTCGCTCGGTCAGATCAGGTGTCTTCCTCGAAGAGTCAGCCATTCCTCATGTGGCTATGCTCTCTCACGACCTTGACCAACCCTTGAACGCCTACCTGGTTGACTTCTTCAAGCACGGCGACGTCAAGACCCTGGAGAGGGCGAACGGCATTAGACGTGGTGATGTCTGGTTTATGCTTAACGACTTCTCCTTGGTCCTTGCTACAATCATTACCAGTCTGCTCAACTTCATGAAGCTCAAGGTTGGAAGCGACATGGACTTCCTTGACACTATGGGAGAGCTTGACACTCTAGAAGAAGCTGAGGACGAGACAGTCGCTGTCAAGGAGGACGGAGAAGCCGTTCCTGCTCCCAGCGAAGCACCCAAAGCCGCCATGGCTACGATCACAAAGAAGAAAGCAAAGAAGGCTGAGAGCTGGGAAGACATGGCAGATGAGGAAGAGGTGATTGAGAAGGATTACAACGAGGCCGCCGCCAAGTTGGACGAGCTCAATCTCGACAGTGCCGCTTGGGAAGGCCAGGGCGGTGAGAAGGGCTTGCTCAAGGTGCTGAAGGCATTCCAGAGATTGCACTCGGAGTTCAACCTGAAGTTCAAGGCCATGTGGGCATAGATGTTTACGAACATTCGGTTCATGTAGATTGTAAAAATAGATCAGATACTGATAGACCGTACAATTGCCTTTTCCTCTGTCACCATGTTTCTCCCAACAACCATATTGTGAATAAGCTCGGCGCAAGTGGGTAGCTGACGTTTGATGACGGTGTTGGCCTTGGGTAGCACGACCACGCGACTGACTCTTTGGAGTGTCTCGCGAAAGTGCTACGAGCAAAGACCGGTAAACAAAAGTTGCTACCGGTTCTCTGCGACTATACGCCGGCTTTACGTCGCGATATACGCGCCTTATATATCGATCTCGTCTTTGGAGATATTGATTACGATCTCGGAGATTGTCGAGCCAAGAGCTCACGCGAGCTGGAGGAGCCGACACGAGGGGCCCGTCTCCTAGATGCCATAGGGGCTTTACCGTTGTGCATCAGATGGGGGGAGAGGAGGGATAAGCAGATCTTCATGTTTCGAAATAGAGTCGTTGACATTCTTCCAACGAATGAGAGATCAAGGAGTCAAAAGAGATCCAACGTCCAACATAAGGCGGATGATCTCACGATTTTTTCTCTCTGCGCAGTCGCGAAGCCGAGTCCCGACTGCGCCTTGGGGTCGACGCCCAGCTGTAAACACCGAAGCCTTGTCCAATTTCCGAGCGTTCGGGCTTTCTTGTACGACGTGTTGAGGTATATGTAATACGCCGCCAAGGTAAGATGAGGAGGGCGTATCGTTTGTGTAGGCATCCCTTTGCTCCTTCGAGCCCCTCATGTCATAAGGAGCCCAAGCCCCCTCGCAATCGAACTCGTGTTACATTCTCCCTTCTGCTCAACTCTGAAGACTCTCAAACATGTCGATCGTGAAAAGACCCACCATCAGAAACCGCCGGATATCTTCCTCGCCCTCGCCACCGNNGGGGAGCCCGCACCCTGCTTATGACCCAATTCGGATGGAACCAGTGGAACGTCTGGGGATCTCCTCTGCTGTACCTCTCTCGATCAAGCAAGTCGACCTTGATGGCTATGATATCGTCCCTTACGTACCCGCATACCACAATACCTTTGAACTACCTGACTCAAGCTACTATGGCCTTCAAGAACTCCAGGATGACATCGCCAAGGCCATCTCGGCACAAAACGGCTCTCCTCATCGTCGCGTGGAAGCAAAGCGAGACTTCTATTTCAAGCTGTCGGCACACTATAGGCGGCATACAGATGAGAAACGTCAGGACGTGCGTGTCACGGCGCAAAATTGGGATGAGTTGAGGCTACTGCTGCTGAGCGACGAGGTGCATGTCGCGTGCTTCTCTGTCCTGTGGTGGAAGAAGACGACAGGACAGAGGAAGGCTGACCGCGCGGAGTTGGGCAGTAGTCTGGCTTGCTGTGTCATACAGTAGCCTATACAGGAGATGGGACCCTTACAAGGATCTTGTATGTCGCCTCGCCAAATCTTCGAGACGACTTACCCCATGCACTCTCCATGACAGGCCCCCTCACGACTTATGGACGACAGTGTACACGAACAAATATCAGTCCCACGGCAAACATAACTCTGGTTTTGGAGTTGGCCATCATGGAACTTTCACTCGCCAAGACGCCACAGCCATGCATTCCGTGGTGCCATCAATCTCTGGGCTTCTCACAACAAACGAATGTCGCAGTACCCAAGGCCGACAGGAAGTTTGAATCAGGATATCATCGATGAGATCTGCACAACGTCGAAGGGTTGGGCAACGCGGGAGATTGGCCCCTTGAGGACATCCCAGGACCGACCGACAGCTGGGTTTGACGGGAATGTCGGAAATGCATATGAGTTAGGCGTACCGGGAGGGAAATCCTTTCCAACGAGAATCACGAATAACGAACGCTATGAACTTTTCACCCAATCTTCACTTTTCGATGTTTTTTTGTCCGGTAGCCGAGTCGCCTGAGCCATCGGAAAGTATGGACGCCTGAGCCATGAGTTACCCTGATGCCTGTCATGGACGGAAGCTATAGCTTTGACAGGGAGCTAGATGGTGGTGCTTGGACTGCGTCTGAAACGAATACGGCGCATGCCTTACTTCGGGTATGAGGTATCCGGTAAGCGGGAGCAAATAGCCTTGGCTGTCAGATTCTAGAGATAATCAGTCAGCCCTCATTTTTGCTCCACATTGTCTACTGAGCAAGGGTCAACGACCTGATATGATCATTCAGAGCAGCCCTATTAGAATCTTGTCGTGTGCTTGGGGCAGCGTCGGGTTTGACCTTCCTTTCCGAGAGCACTCCATATCAGGCAGAACTTCGGGAGCTTAGGCACGTCATCAGGAAGGCCACCTACACTTCTGAGTGAGCAAGTGAATAACCATCTATCTATCCACTAAAAACAATCATGTCAATCAAGAACATCGTTCTGGTGGGTGCCGATGGCAACCTTGGACCTGGGGTGCTCAATGGTCTGGTTGGGACGGGAGCTTTCAATGTCACAGTCTTCAAGCGAAAGTCCTCGAAATCAAAGTCCAACTATCCGGAGGGTGTTCAAGTCAAGCTGTTATCGGACGACTTCCCAATCGATGAACTGGTACCGGCTCTCGAGAATCAGGATGCCATAGTCAGCACCGTCTATGGCGCACAAGTAGACTTGCAGAAGCGTCTCGCCGATGCAGCTATCAAAGCTGGCGTAAAGCGTTTCATTCCCTCAGACTTCGGAAGCTGCGATTCGCAGAGCAAGAGAGCTATGGAGCTTGCGCCTATCTACATCGCCAAGTCACAAGTGCGCGACTACCTTGAGAAGCTGGCTCAAGAGCACCCCGGATTCAGCTGGACAAGTCTTGTATGTGGACACTTCTTCGATTGGGACCTAGGATTCTTCCATATCGACCTGAAGGCGAGAAGCTTTGAGATCCTTGATGATGGCGAGGTTTACTGGAGCACCAGTACATTCGCGCAGATTGGTAGAGCTACGGCTGCTATCCTGCAGAAGCCGGATGAAACAAAGAACCGCTTCGTCTACATTCAGAGCTTCCGCATCAACCAGAATCAGCTCTTGAAGTCGTTCGAGAAGGAGACTGGTCAGTCATGGAACGTCAAAAAATACGACTCGTCGGATTATGTGAAAGAACGCAAGGCGAAAGCAGATGGAGGCGACAAGTCAGCCGTGGAAGATCTGGTCTGGGTTTTGGGCACGCTGGAAGCCGATTGGGAGGCTCGTGATGGNTACGCCAATGACCTTCTTGGGCTACAGCAAGAAGATCTCGACGAAGTGGTTGCAAGGATCGTCAAAAGCAATTAGGGTGTTCCCAAATTGCCTTGATAGACTACTTCCAAATAAGAGACGCGAAACGTGTAAAAATGACTCTCCCTGGAATCAAGTGATTTTCACGACATATTCGTACATTGCTATGGTCATCATCTTTGAGCAAAAACTCCTCTGAAGTATGTGGCCCACACGTAAGTTGATTGGTACGAATTCCCTATGCACAAAAGTTACTCACTGACTCTTCTCTCACAACGACACAAGGCGACTAATTGTACTCTAAAAAGGCACAAGGGATTCGGAGAATGGAATGAGACCAAGGAGAGCGTATGATAACTCAGCTCTCAGTGGAGACTGCTCGTTTTCGGAAAACCATTGTGCATTTTTATAGCTACTCGTGTTGCGATCGATTCGGCTGGAAAGTGCTTCACCTGAGAAGCTCTTTCTGTTTTGAGATTCGACGCCGTCACTAAACCATCAGACACGCGTCAGTTCCATCCGTCTTGTCACACAGCACTATTCTTCAATGGCAGCTATTGCAACATCTCGATCTTTGGACTTGTTAGAACGCTTCCACGTCGCTCAGGCACGGGCGGGATCGATTCCTTACATCACGATAATCGGTCTTATGGTCGTCAGTCATGCGGATTTCTCTCAAATTCTGGCCCAAATCACTCAGAATATTGATCAGCTCCTGAGATTGCATCCAGTCCTAGCTGCGAGCGTTGATGATAGCGATATTCGACGTCCCAGATGGATACCAAACCACGAGGATCCGCCTTTCGTCACTCACGACCCGATGGTCCACCCCATTATCGGTCCTGAGGTTGACCCGGTGCAGTGTGTTACTCAAGTTGCTGAGGCAGAGGACGCCGAAGCTCAGGGCTTTAACCTACAGGGACCTCTTTGGCGTGTTGGGATCTACCAACTAACACAACAACCACTTGATGGCTATTTTATTGCGTTGACCTTCCATCATGTCGTCACCGATGGCATAGGCGCCCTCAAGCTCTTCGAAGATGTCATGTGGCAGCCGTCTGCTGTCCCGACAACATCATCTCGTCCACGACCGCAACCAATGCCGCCCAAAGCACAAAAAACGATGAGAATGCAACCCTCAGTCGCCGGGACGATGAGGAAGGGAGCTCGTTGGATCCTCAAACAGAGATCCTCTGGCCCATCTGGGAAGATCATGCGTGGGCTCGGTGCAATAACCAAATGGCCTCCGCCAGGACTGTTGAAGCAACAACCAAGAAAGCCCGACGTCAGCCATGCTGCGGTTGATTTTGGAAAAGACCAGAACAGGATCGTCGAACGGCTAGAAGCTCTGGGACACCAGATCGGCAGTGTGCACTCAGTCCTGCACACTGCTGCTGTCGTTGCACTGGCCGCAGCCATTTCGAAGGGTGTTGGTGAGGACAATTTCGACACTATCGGCACAGAAACACCAGTATCGCTGCGCATAGAGGGCCAACATCCACGGATTGGAGGCCATTACATGGGTCTTACCGAGAGGTCCATCCCACTCCCTAGTCTACGCTCAGAGACAATCGCCAGCTTCACTAGATATATGAACCGCTACATGCATTCGCCACAGGCAGAGAGCGACGCCAGAAGCAGAGTAGGNGGGTTTCGATTGATGCCTGATCGATTAATACCTGATCTGTGGAAAGCATGCCTCACCAAGAAAGGGACGTCGAATGATCCATATCGCAATTCGCTCATGATCTCCAACCTCGGCCGCTTTGAAACCAGACATATTCCTGGTCTGGACAAGGTTTGGTTCTGCCACGCCTGCATGCCCTGGGGCGCTGCCATCAACATGGACGTGGTCAGCCTTAGCTTGAAGAAGGCTTCAGATGTCAGTGCAAGGCGAGATTCAAGGCTCACCGTAATGGTTTCCTGGCTCGATGGCGCTATCGAGAGAAACATCATCGATCGCTTCTGTGCGGCACTCGTCAGAGTTATGAACCTAATGGCCAGAGCCGGAGGTGCACCGAACTTGGACCGTCATGCCATGCGCACCAAAAATCTTCAGGACCTTGCGGATTAGGCTCGCCAAAAGGTGGACGAGGAATTGGGTGTTAGCTAGGTAGTCATTCTTTCACGCGAAAATCTGGAACCCGTTCGCTTTCCTACTTAACAACCATCATCTTGACCAGCTGTAAAATTGCAAAAATAGTGTTACATCTGAGACTTCGTCCACAGAGAGAGCAAAAATTCAGAACTCTCAGTGGCCGAAGCCTCTGGAACACTAACACTGAGCGTTTTTATAGGTGACTTTCTTGCGGTTGGTTTGTTTGGAGATCACGAAAGAAGAGTTCTGGGTGAATGGGATAGGATGTATGCCTCTTACACACAAGTAAAAGGAATGCAAAACATACAGCAGCAGGGATTCCCACGTGGTCACCCACCGTAGTACTAATCTGCCGTTCAACTGCTTATGTATGGCAGAGCGGACGGGATGCCCAGTTTTCAGCTGACTGTGGCCGTATGTGCTAGAAATGCTATCCCAGCTCAGTATAATTCACACATCCATGATAGTTCTCGATCAAACAGCGTTCACTCCTGTGGGTGAGCCACGTGCATGGAGGACTGTTCCAGCGCAGCACTCGACAATGGCCCAAACGGTCGCCGAATCTTGCAGTATCTTGGACGACATGTCGCAAGATGGTGGACCCGGAGAGACAGGCCGGTGGTTTCTCGAGCAACAGGCGTTGAGCAAAGATAAGCATATGCAATAATGAGCCGGCTCAAGGCGGGCGACGAGTCATGGATATGGATCATCAAAAACGCAGGTCGAGGCGGAGGTGCGGGCGGACTTGCTCGAAGCTCTGGCGCACGGCCCAAAAAAAAAGTCGCGACGAGGTCGGCGTTGGTGCATGAGCAACTCAGCATAATCCATATCGCGTGCCTTTTCCCTCCTTCTAGTCGTCGTCGTCTCGCTCGCAGCTCCTCCTTGTTCGACCCCCGTTCATCCTCTGTCCATTCTTTTCTCGAGTCTCTCCGCTCACTTACACACATATCACAATGGTCAACATTCCCTCCCCCAAAGATGGCTTGTCCAAGGAGTACAAGAAGGAGTCGACCGCTGCTAGAGTCCTCGGTGCTGGTGCGCAAACTGTCGTCGGGACAGGCACGAGCATACAGTTGACATGANNAGCAGGTTCCGCTGGTATCGCCGAGCTCGCCGTCTTCCATCCCGTCGACACCATCGCCAAACGTCTCATGAGCAACCAGGGCAAGATTGTCGGCATGACCCAGTTCAACTCGGTCATCTTCAAGGACAAGGCCACTGCTCCCATCGGCACTCGCTTCTTCTCTCTCTTCCCCGGTCTCGGCTATGCCGCCGCCTACAAGGTCATGCAGCGTGTCTACAAGTACGGTGGTCAGCCCTTCATGCGCGACTACCTGGCCAAGAACCACGGCGACTTGTTCTACAACACTTTCGGCAAGGGCAACGGCAAGGCTATCATGCACGCCACTGCTGGCAGGTAAGGCTCGACAAGAACTCGACACCCTGCCGAGGCGCATAGCTGACAACCCCTCTCNAGTCTGATTGGTATCGGTGAAATTGTCATTCTCCCTCTCGACGTCCTCAAGATCAAGCGTCAAACGAACCCCGAGGCTTTCCGTGGTCGCGGTCTCTTCAGAATCATCGCCGACGAGGGCTTCGGTCTCTACAGAGGTTGGGGCTGGACTGCCGCCCGTAACGCTCCCGGTTCTTTCGCTGTACGTACACTCGACTTGTCTCCAGCCAGAGCATTTCACTGACGCATAATACAGCTCTTTGGTGGTAGCGCGGCTGCCAAGGAATACTTCTTCAAGCTCTCCGACTACAATAGTGCCACCTGGTTCCAGAACTTCATCGCCTCCATCGCCGGTGCCTCTGCCTCGCTCATTGTCTCAGCTCCTCTCGATGTCGTCAAGACCCGTATCCAGAACCGCAACTTCGAGGCCAAGGAATCTGGTTTCCGCATCATCTCCAACATGGCCAAGCACGAGGGCATGACTTCCTTCTTCAAGGGTCTTACTCCCAAGCTCCTGATGACTGGTCCCAAGCTCGTTTTCAGTTTCTGGCTGGCTCAGACTCTTATTCCTGCTTTCAACAAGATGCTCTAGACGAATTAGATGCCATGATGTAAGAGTTTATGCGATAGTAGCCGTCTGAATGGAGAGACGGAGAGCGATTTTCTTCTAATAGCTGCATCGGGCTGCAAGGGGCAGTCGGATCGGGTGTACAATGTTTGGGGACATATGGGAATTTGCAAACGGCCAGCCATGCTTTTTGAATTGTAACATAGAAAAAGGACGGCGCATGATGGAAATGATACCTCTTCTCTACCTTTGACTGCTGCATCTCTCTCCAGACAGACCAAAAGATCAAACAATGGTTCGACCTCCTGTCGCTCCCGCTCGGGCACTCCCGAGGCTTGGGCAGCACGCGGTCCCCGCGCTTGGTGACGGGGCGCATACAGCAAATCGCTAAGCGCATCCAATCAATCAATCGAGCGAGCAATCTAGAGGGCAGAACGTGATTGTGGGCGTGTTGCAGCGTGCGAGTTACCAGCCTCACACACCCGTAAACTTGACGTCGCCTTTGTTTTCACTCCCCTTGTTGTTGCACATTCACACCGCCGCCGCACAGCCAGCTTGGGCCGTTGCGGATAGTCGTTTTCCTTGACACATAACGCTCATCCTCCGCAGGTTCGGCAGGCACGGTCAAACTCAACCCCGGATTGAATATCGAAGTTGATTGATTGCAATGTCGCGCTCACGGTCAGTCGGTCGTGACGATGGACTCGGCACAAACAAGCAACAACAATCTCAACATCGCCGCGCCAGCAGCACCCTGGGCCCTGGCGATGATTTCCACGCTNNGGGTAAGTCTCGACAAACAAGAACGCATCCGTATAGTGCCCAACTGAACAAATTACTTAGCTTTGTCAAGCGCTTGGTCGGCGTGCTCGACAATCACGGCAAAGTCATCAAGAAGAACGCCAATCTCCTGAGTGAGATTTCGTCCACTCTTCGAAGTCACTCATACTCGAAACTGCCACGTCCCGTCAGTGAACCAACACTGAAGGTCCCTACTACACCCGTCGATCAGTCCACGACACCCAACGATAGCGCTGTCGAGTCCAGCCCTGAGTTCATGCCGCCTACGCCTCCTGACACGCCCACTATCGAAGTATCCGACTGGGCTTACCATCCACCTATGCCCAGCGACGTTAGACAACAGTACGAGCAGCCAAAGGTCCCAAAGATCGTCATCAAGGACCACAGCACTTCGACCTCGACCATTATCAGTGCCCCTGTCGACGCCACCATGAACCTTTCCATCTCTTCCACCGACAACGCTGACGCCGTCGTAACCACTGCCGACATGACTGCCAGCGCTTCCGACAAGCACAACACCTCCTTAATCCCTGTAAACCAAAAATCGATCAGACTTTCCAACAAGGGCTCGTCCTCCTTCACAACTCCTTCGACCGCCCAGACGACACCCAGCATGGCCGCTACCGCTCTATCCGAATCCAGCTCGGTCGATCAGATCACTGCGTCGGAGGAGGATATCGCCCAGTGGTATGCCTACCATGCAGACCGCGCAGCTAAGAGCTTGCGCTACGACTTGCGTGAGATTGACCTGAAGATGGATCGTTTCGTCCGCCGCATCAACGATCTGAACTCACAGTGCTCGGCTCTCAACGACCTCATGTCGTCCAATGCCTCGACCGCCCTCAACCCCAACACCCAGCAGCACCGTCGTACTAGAAGTACCCCAGCTGTCCAGGGCAACGACCATTTCACCCGCAAGGAAAAGGATATCCGCGACGACATCAAGGAAGCCTTCCAGAGTCTTCGCTCAGCGCTTGCTTTTTACCGCAAGCAGCGCGTGGCTNNCCCCCTCGAGCTTGTCAATGCCAAAGCCGATGTTGTCATGCCTGGCTACTGGTCCATGGACGCTTACGGCAAACGTCGCGCCCTCTTCCACTTTTACAACCGCAACAGAGACATTTCCAGACCTGGTGATCGCGCTCGCTATCATGACGCCATGGCTCTTTTGGATGCTTGTACGGCCATGTCGTTGAACCAGGAATTTGTCGACAAGATTGACAGATGGGAGAGCCAGATTGGTGTCATGAAGAGTCAATCTGGTACCGACACGGTTATCCCTTGATCGCGATGATATGGCGAGTCGTATCGAGGGTACCATCGCTCACACCCACGTTCCCTGACACAGTCGAGGTTCAGCTGCCTTCCTTTCCTGTTTCTCTGCACATATTGCATGGCACCGGCGTCTTCGATCATGTGCTTTCCTCTCTCGATCGCTTTGTTTTGTCCTGTTGTTTTTTTTTCTGGTGGAATTTTGTTCTTTGGTGTTGGTTTCTTTGACGAGATGATGATGGATGCATGGTTGCATGTGGCCCCGGCGCGCTTTTTGAAAAGATACCCCCTTTTGTCTCGTGTTTTCCTTTTCTTCTTTTAAACACTCTCTGGACACACTGTACAGTCCTTTCAGATTTGGCATTGGCGCTGTAATTAGTTTCTTGTCCTTCTTCTCTTTCTTTCATAATCATGGAGCGCAAAGGAAGCAAAGCAAAGCAAGAGTGCGAATTGTGCAAAATGAATACAAACCTCTAGTTGCCTCTACTGTCTATTTTTGCCTTTTCCTCTAGTATCAGATCCTTATTGCTGCTTTGGTCTCATCAACATGTCGATTGCTAATCCGTATGCCTCGTCGCGCTTGCGTTCCTGGTGCGAGCCAGGAGCTGCTCTCTTGTCCCATGCATGTCCGCATTTATCCATACGTCTGAGCACTACGTTCTCTCCGTGCTTCTCCTCGACACGCTTGGCCAGACGTTCAGTTTCCAGACAGAGACTGTCACGTCCGCAGGTAATAAACAAGGAGTTCTTGGGGTAGTTGTCTACAGGTCCAAGAGCAGGTGAGACGCGAGGATCTGCCTTGTCGGGATCCAGACGCAGGTACGAGGCGTCGAACAAGCGGGCCATCTTTGCAGTCATGTCATTAGATCTGCCATCGTCTTCTGGGGGTGACTTTGACTCTGGCGTCATGGAGAGATCGGTAGGCGGGTAGAAAGCCAGCAGTGTGTTGAACGTGTCCTTGGGAAAAGTCGATGCAGCTGCGACACAGGCCATGTTTGCACCAGCACTGAAACCAGAAATGGCGATTTGAGAAGTCGAGTAGACGTCAGGTTGACCAAGGACCCATTTTACAACATCTTCGGCATCGTTGTGACATGCGGGCCAAGGATACTCTGGGGCAAGGCTGTATTGAATGTCCAAGACCGAGTAAGGAGTTGAAGAGGAAACGTTGCGGCAGAAAAAGTCGTCCGAGCCGTGGAGGGGGAAGACGAAGCCGCTGCCATGGAAGTTGACCAAGAGCGGCGATGGAATGCCAGGAGTGAACGAAGTCGATTTGTAGACATGAGCCTTGATGTTGCGACCGGACCTTGACGGAATTTGCAAAATCGAGTCTGGTGAGGCGTTTGGCATCATGCCGCTCCACCACACATTGAGGCGGGCGAAGGTGACGAGCGCTTTGAGGCGCAAGTACCTGAAGAGGTTCTTTAAGGCGAGCAACATGTCGGGGTGGAGGTCGAGCTGAAGAGAGAAACAACCTACAAATGCTTCACGAGGGAAGACATCGATATTTACTCATCCGAGTGGCCGGCACCGGCATCTTCCAGTTACCGTACAGGCTCGCGACCTTCATCAAGCAGATAGGCGCAACGGCGGCAAGTTAGGAGGCAATCAGAGAGAAAATAATACGACGGGCGCGTCGTGTCGTGAGCGGTATAGCTCGATCGGGAGAAGCGACTGTCGCGGAACGTGGCCGCCCCACTTGGCAAAGGATGATTTGTGTCAGGGTTCGACGGCTCAAACATGGCGTGTTCATCTTCCAAATGGTGACCATGATATGTTTCGATACGTGAAGAAGTCTTTCCTATGCGAAGTGTGTAACCATGAGAGTTGAAAGAGGGCAGGAACGATGCGCGATGGTCACGCTGACAATAATGACGTTTCTGTGTTTGGCCGATCGACCTTGGACCTACCTAAACTTCTAGCCATAACTATTCGAAATTACAAACAATCATTTACATCAACCTATTCCTAACTATCGAGCATCGCACCACATCGCTAAGTATGAGTACTGGCAGTCAACCCCATGGCCAGCTGGTGCGTCTCCGCGCCCTCACCCCATCACAGCTCCCTGCCCACCCGGACCTGGCAGCATTGCAAGCCGGCGCTCCGGCATTGCCAGACCTGGAAACCTTCATCACTAGCATCTTGACTGAGGCCTCGACTTTTATGACCGACTACCTACCAAACAACTTTGCCATCAAGGACCGCTCGAAGAAATCTCCGCCCGCAAAGGCTACCATCCAACTTCTGGCTCACGAGATCCCTGCTCAGCAATTGGGTCCCAATGCACACGACGAGGCATGGTTTGCACGTACAAGTCTTCACGAAAACAAGAAGGAATTAGGCACTGCCAACTGGGACGAGTTCGAAGCTGGTATTCTTGATGACCACAGTCTGCACGAGTCACAATACACTCCGGACGTGTTTGATGCCCACAAAGTTCTATCCTGGGATCCAAAGTTGGCCGAGAAGCAAGCCAAGGTTGGCAATTGGGTAAAGGTTGGCCTGAACAGTGAGTCTTGACCATTGCATGCACGGTACGTGTAGCTAATCTGAAACGTCATCNNAGTCTTTGAGATGGGCCATCATATCCCACCTCCTTTGGACAACCGCGCCTTCCCGGTGCTTGTTGTTACAGCTCGCTCGGCTGGTCCCAATAACCCATCCTTCCTGGTCGTTCAGATTCCGGTCGACATCACGAAGCTTGACAAGGCAATGTACTCCACACAGAAGAACAAGCTTGCAGGTGACACTGCCGAAAAGAAGAAGCCTGTCACCCTTGGCCAGTACGTCAGCATTGAGCGCTGTACCATGGTCGAAGATATCAATGTAAAGTGGCAGATGGCTACAGCCAGCGATGCGAAGGGCAACCTACCAATGTGGGCACAGAAGATGGGCATCCCCGCTGCTATCATCAAGGATGTCGGTCTCTTCATTGACTGGAATGATAAGAAGAGAGGATGAGTTGCTGAGCGTTGCATTGTCTGTTTACACTACTTCGATACCCCTGCGTTCTCATCCTGAAATCTTGATCTACCCTGAAATCGTTTGATCAATATCTCTCCCTTGTCATACTTCATGATCTGTGGTCAGTTATGTGGAAGTACTTGTGCATCCAAGCGGATCTACAGCTTGTGCTTCTTCTCGCCAGAAGCAATCTTCCTAAACTGCTCCTGCGGTACACCACTGACGAATCGATCCAACCCGCCAAAGACTTCGGCAACGCCCTGAGCATCCAAAAGCTCCCTCTCAGGTCTTCTGATCAACTTCTTAATACCCAAAAGACTTTCAGGGATCAAATGCTTGCCGAGTCTATCATCAACCTCCTGCAGCACCAACTCCAAGAACTTGTCGCTGTCGCCAGGCTTGACATCCATGACACCATTCACATAACCCACATTGACAAGCTCCTCACAAGTCAACCTCTTACTCATAATCAACGCCTCATTCGCCTTTGAAATGCCCAATCTGGACACAAACGCCCTGCTGGAACCGCCCTCGGCCACCAACCCCAGACTGCTGAATGGAGTCAGGATAAACGTGTGTGGAGCCGCATACACGAAATCGGCGAATCCGGTCAGGGCGGCAGAGAGGCCCACGGCAGGGCCGTTCAATGCGGCAACCAGGATCTTGGGGTGTGTGTAGAAGGCGTGTGTGATGTGTAGGTTTTGGGCGACGAAGCCTTGGAGGTAGTGGCGTTGGATGTCGGTGTCTTTTGGTGGTGCTTTTGAGATTGAGACGTCGGCGCNCTCTGTTGGTTTGAGTCTTTGTCAGTATTCTTTTCGCAGCTTTTGGTAGACGGGAAGGGGTGAATATTTGGGTGAAGAGGAAACGTACGCTGAAAAGTATCGCCCTTTGCCGGTCAAGATTGTAATGTAGATGTTGTCCATGGCGGCAACCTCTTGCATCACTTTGGCAAGGCGGAAGTAATGGTCTCCATTGAGTGCATTCAGCTTCTTTGGCAGATTGAGGGTGATGATGGCGATATGCCCCCTGGTCTCCAATGTGACCTCCTGCTCGACTTGAGACATTGCTGATGTTGCTGTGTTATAGTTTTGACGTTTCTTTGGTATTTTGGGACAATGCGTTGTTCCAAGCAGCAAGAGTCGCGATTCCGGGTGTCGAGCTCACAGTTGTCTTTACCTAGGCAACTTTTCGTGGGAGACCGTTGGTGTGTGGGGTACCGAGGCATTCGCGTGCGGCAAGCACGCACGCGAAAGAGGGTCCTCTCGGATGTTGCTTCCGAAGCCCTGGATGCTTGCTATATTTGGTTGTCTTGAGATGTTGCAGGACAGCAGCTTGACTGTGTCACTGGTCGTGTCAGATCTCTCGAACTGTGTCGGTTGATAGCTGTAAGTTTCTCCGTCTCCTTTCGGTCGTGTCGCCAGTGCGATAGGGATATCTACAATTCGAGACAAGAAACATAGTCACTCTTATACACGGTTAGATGGGATCAATCCAGAAGCATGCCAATTCAGATCGTATACCATGCACGCTTGTAGGTGCTTAGCAAATCGACTATAAAACGACTCTCTCACATCCGCTTACACGCTCTGTATTCTGACTGATCACCCTTGCTTCTGCAGAGTGTATACAACATGGAAGAGCCGATGGACAGGGTGATGGTGCTGACAATCTAGAATGTCAAGGATAGCATGATGCTCGAAGAGCGATATTACAACAACCTCCCTGCAAGAGATATATCTGCTGTCATTCGCTGGATGGTACAGTAGATAGACGAGGACAAGATATGAATCGACAGATGAAGCATGTGACAAAAAGACAGAGCAAGTTGCAGCAAGAAAAAGAAGCCGAGGCGCTCCGGGCAAGCTACGTCAGCACAATAAGCAGAGCCAGCACGCAGCACGATCAAAATGCAAGGGCTCACGAGGCTTCCAGGACGACGAGGATTCAAAGCTTTTGCCGCTATATATCGATATCACAGCATACGCACAACAATGGCATACACGACATTCGAGGGCACACACAAAACGGACGACGGCGTTGAGCTGTACACCAAAACGTGGAAGGTGTCGGACGATGCGGCCAAGGCACGCATGCTGTTTGTGCATGGCTTCAGTGACCATTGCAACAATTACCCAGTCTTGTTTGAGCACTTGGCTAACCAGGGTATCGATGTCTATGCCTTTGATCAACGGTAAACTTCTCACCACTTTTTCTTTCTCCTCTTCTTGCATCATCTTACTGACATCTCCATGCACAGAGGATGGGGTCGCTCAGTCCACCACAAACATGAGCGCGGCCTCACGGGTCCCACCACCCGCGTCCTCGCCGACATAACCAGCATGCTCAAGACCCTTCTCCCCACCCCTGTGCCCCTCTTCCTCATGGGCCACAGCATGGGCGGCGCCGAAATCCTGCACTACGCATCCACCGGACCCTCGGACGTCCTCTCCCAAATCCGCGGCTTCATCGCCAGCGCACCACTCATAAGCCTCCACTCCGACACTCGCCCCTTCAAAGCCACCGTATACGCCGGCCGCCTCGCCGGCCGTGTGTTGCCCAGATTCCAACTCGTGCAGAAACTAGACAGTAAATGGTTAAGCAGAGACGCCGAGCAAAACAAACTCTGGGAACAGGATGAACTGTGTCATGACACTGGAACCTTGGAGGGTCTGGCAGGAATGCTGGACAGAGGACTCCAACTCGAAAGCTTCAAGGTGTTGCCAAAGGGAAATGCAGGAGAAGGTGGAAAGACTAGATTGTTGGCGTTACATGGAACCGGTGACCATGTGAATGCGTATGAGGCCACCAAGGCATATGTTGAGCGCTGCACTGAGTTGAGTGACAAGGAGCTCAAGAGTTACGACGGTTGGTATCATAACAGTGAGTTTCTCCTTCTACTTCCTCCCTTCTTGCGAAAAGTGATGCTATACTCACCATTCACAGTGCATGCCGAACCCGGTGACGACAAGCTCCTCTTCGCAAACCACGTCACTGAATGGATCTTGCAAAGATCAGGGCCCGAAGACTCCAAGTCGAAACTCTGATTTTACGACCTTTATGAAGGATACTCGCAAGTGATTCTAGACGGAAAGCAAGAGTTAAATGTTGATGAGAGGAGGAAATTCTGTTCATGAGCAGAGTTTGGATCGAAAGTCTATATCTATAATTCTATAATTGCCATCTATTTGGGTATCATGTTCGCAAGCAGCAAGACCATATTTTGTTTCTTTTGTAATGTCAGGTCTTTCCAAAAACAAACGCCGAGTTTTCCCGTCTATATTTTCCCCAAGTCTATTTTTTGAATGCAAATCGTTTCTGAAGAGTAAAAATGTGTAGTTGTTCTTCCTTTTTGAGGAGGAAAGGCGAAAGGGAAAAGAGCAAATCGGAGTCGTGGCCTGATGGCTGCTGATCGTTGACGAGTCAAGCTTGTCTTGCGCCTGAGACACAATCTCCGACTTTCTTCGCACCTCGAGTCAAGACAGCTCTCAGAGCGCTGCGCGAAGTGAGACGTTTCTCCAGACGGTCAAAGATTGGTTTGAATACCTGTCTGACTCGTGAGGGAAATGGCGACGTACACCGCTATCAAGGCAGCGATTTGAGTCTGTTAGGGCATCCCTGAGCTCTAGTCTCGGTGCCTGTGCCTTATGAATCACACTCATGGGGCTTCAGGGGTTGTGGTCGAAGCCAGACTGACCACCTAGGCCAGAGTACGCGTTCCGTGAACTTTGATACGCAGCCTGCAACTGCGCTGGCGTTTGAATACCATTGTACGAGGGCGCCGATGTCATCATGGGGAAGCCGTTACTCGTGGGACCAGGGAGTTTGAAGTCGTCGGGGTAGGCAGATTGGAAAAGTTGAGGACCGACGGGTTGGGGAGGTGGGCTGCCTCCAAAAGGTGTCGAATCACCGCTGGCAGGATTGCTGCTGTCGTAGATTTCGTCGATTCTGCCACGACCGGTGGGCATAGAAACCATGCTGAAACCTGGGGTGGGCATCTGAGGGAGGGTGTCGTTGATTTTGGAGAGGAGCAGAGGAAGGTATCGTTGTTGACCGCCGCGGAGAGTCGAAATGAGGGAGAGGAATTGGTTGAGGTAATCGCGAGGGCCGTACTCGAAAGTGTGTTGCTCGAAGGGTACGCACGACATGACGTCGGTCAAGGTGCATGCGACATCGAAGAGCTTCTCGACAAGACCGATACCGTGAACTTCCATGGCAGCCTGTGAGAAGCCGCTTGTCGCGGCAATCAAGTCTCTTGAAATCTCGATGGGATATTTGAAGCTCATGGTGCTGTCTGCGGCAGCCGATGAAAGGTAGCCGTGGCTGATGGAGAGCTGCCACACCATTGTTCGGAGCCATTGTTGTGATGTTCTCAAGTCGACAGCCTGGCTCTCGGTGCTATGCAGGTAGGCGGGAAGTGCTTCCGCAAGCTGGTTCTGCAATCTCGCCAGCCACTCGGTCGAGCAACCGACACGAGCCTTATTCCAAAGACCAACAAAGGTATCGTCAAACGGCTTGAAGAGTGTAACGAGGTGTATGAATCCGCTGAGCTCGACTGTTTCCGCGGGGTCGTCGTTGAGGGTGGGGAGATTAATGGTGGCGTGTAGGGTTAAGGGACGGTGACGCTGGATGGCATATGCTCTNNGCAAAGACAATGTTAGTCATGATTTGGACATATCCTACGCTGTAATTTACCTCTCGGTGATGAACAGAAGCCAGTACAGTCGTCGGCGTCGCGACGTCTCGATGAGGTCGCTTTGACTGTAGTGGTTCTCATCTTGCATACCCATGATCTGCGCTAACGTCGTTGCTTCACGGAGGTGGAACCATGCCGTGTTGTGCTTGTCGAGACAGAAATGTGCGCCGAAGAAAAAGAACGATGTGATGACCGACCAGATACCGGGGCTCTCGATGTAGTCGTATCCCTTGCGGACGCGGATAGCTTCGTCCAGCAAAGTCATACCCAGGTTAAGGTGAGCATTCGGTGCCTCAGCGTCTGGTACGATACCAGCTGGGAGCTTGGTATTCGGTTGGATGAGCATGTATGAGCAGAGCGACACGACCAGGCAGTAGGCCTCTACCGAGTTCTCCATCTTTCCAATCGTCTCGCCAACCTTCTGGCGGTGTAGGATCGGCTGTGTCGGGTACATGTTTGCGAAGAAGTAGTCAACGCATGACGTGATGAGCTCCATGGAAAGCAGATCCGGAGTCCTTGAGAAGGCGTTGGCATATTGTGACGCTTCGAATCCCAATCCGTGTCTTGCGCGAGCTGCCAGTTGCGACTGCCTTTGTGTTTCGCGAAGCTCAGAGATGACCTTTGCTCTGCTTCCCTTAGGGCCCTTCTTCTGGGGGATGGCGTTGTAGGTGCATGTCAGGCCAGCTGCAGTGCAGTTCTTGCATGGTCGAGTACCATCACCAATACATTTGACCTTTCTCTTATGGCAACAGTCGCATGCGCGCTTGACGGTAGATAGGGCGGGTCCAGTCGAGTCGGGCATCATCAATGGCATCAATACCTGACCAGATATAAGATGTGATGAGGGGAAAAGTAGGCCCGTTTATAGGTGACGAGGCAGTGAAAATACTTAGGCGTGAGGCTGAATGAGAATAGGTAGAGAAAAAATAGAAGAGAAAACGAAGCGTTCGGGCAAGAAAGAAGAAGCCTTTGGTAATATCCAACGACGAGCATTGCTCATCGACGGCGTTGAGTTGACGCAAAAAGTGGTCAAGCGGGAACCGTTACTTGCCGTGGGTAGCGTCGACGCCGTCGAATCTTAGCATCGAACAGAGCAAGTAGTCCAATGAACACCGATCGCGAGACTACGAAACCACTTACCGATTCAAGCATTGCCAGTATCAATGCGACCTACAGCCGAACTGGGGTGATATATCCATGGGCATCATATCGCATGAAAGTGTTGGCGAGCACGAGGACGCGCATGATCAATCCGCTCATAGCGTGCACATCGCATGCGCGCACTGAACGTTGACCTGCAAGGTTGAGACTGCCGGACCCGGTGATGGCGTATGTTTGAAGAAGACGCCCGTGCGTCCAAAATGCAAAAGCCTTTCACGCCAATCACAGACAACAGCTTGCCTTCCGACCGTTGAAATCCAAGGGTTCGTGACGCACCGAAGCTGCAAAGAAGCAGAAGGAAAAAAAGAGCCTTCTTCTGTTGCACTTTGAGCGACACATTCGTTGTAGGAATATGCGCTGTATTTTCCCGGGCGTAAGAGCTGTTGAAGCCACAAACTCGGTCATCGTATCTCGCTCTGCCAAGCTGCGAGTCGGCCCGAGACTTTTGTTGATGGCCCGTTGGTGAAGCAATCCGAAAATAGGGAGTCGTCGCGAGGGCACCAGGCCCTAAGCCGCCAGAAAGCGACAGCAAAATGATCCCCATCGCCGCTGTTGGTCTCTCAACAAGTGGGAATCGCGAAGCTGTGGTTCAGCTGGATGGTGCCCCTTGTCCAATCCGGACATCGCGAATGGGCTGATTGGGAATCGCCCTGTCGTGACTTTTTGGATTAGCCATGCGACTCCGCTCCTCCTGAACAGTCCTTCTGTCTGGTGCTGCTGGATCCACAATTGTCCAGGAGAGGCGAGTGTCTATTCGGTTGGGTGTTGTTGGTGGTTTCGCAGGTGGCCGGATGAGACTTTGAGAGCCAAATGCTCAGGTCTGGGGGCACACGACCATTTATGTCCTTTGTCAACTGCTTGCCCTGGCGAAGAAGGCCCGTTTTTGACCAGATGCTCTCGAGATACCCCGAGGCTAGAATTTATCCACGAAATATCCACGTATTCTTCCGTGGCCCTTCTCCGGTGGATTGGTCTTTGTGTGGGTGTTACTTCTCGAGTTGTGGGGTTCCCACGTTCATCCTAAGCTTCCAGAACCGACACGCGTGCTGTCTATTGCGTGCTTCAAAAGCATCCTTACCCTCGCAGAGAAACTTTGACCTCTCGTTGGATTGATCATAATGCATGAATGTACATTTTGAAGCTGGGATTTGATCATTCATGTATACAACTCGGCATATACTGCTGCCCATGACATCCGCACCGTTGTCCGGATAAAAAGCACTAGTGCTTCCCCAGCACCACCTACCCGCAATCAGACTAGACATTACACATAACAACACAGAAGTTGGTCATGGAAACCTCCATTTGACGGGGCTGGAGTGGTTCGTCCCCATACTCCAGTCTCCGCAGTCGCTGTCGTCAGAAGGCGTGACCAGACGTTTGGCGACATGTACGAAGACCGCGATGAATGAGGTCCTGTCGCTGCAAGCTACATGGTGAGTCTTGCTGTTCGTACGACTTCTGTAAGATTGGGTTGGGCGACGTCTTGGTGACTGGAATCTGATCCGCGCTGCTCCACTCAACTCGATTCTGGTGGGACGACAACACGACCTCCATCAACAATGAGCAGTTCGCCAATGCGTTTCTTGAGGTCGTCGCCGCAGCATTCAACCCTCTTCCATGTCACTATTCTTCCGGAATTCATGTCGATATCCCAGACTCGGACCCGACGATGGAAGCCGCCATAGCCAGCATAACCGCCAAATCCGCCACCACCTGCGTAGCACATCCAGGGACCAACATTCTCACTCTGGGCAGCGTCTTTAGACTGAGGGGTCAAGGCACAGTAATCATTGACATGATCATGGCCACATCCCACAGAAACGACACCCTGCTCTTTGAGTGCTTTGTAGAAGCCGGAGTTGTAGCCTGGTGCAGTACTTGGTTCTCGAAATTCACCTCCAGCGACAAGATTGCCCTCCATAACGAACTCGGGCAGTGGTATATGGATGAAAGCCATGTCAAGGTGTATATGAGTATACTTCGCATGTTGCGTCTTGAGGCTCTGAGCGGTCTCGGTAAACCACTGAATCTGGTTAGGCTTGACCCAATCATACCCTCTATATGTCTTCTCATCAGGGCTGTAGCTGTGAGAATCGAGGAAATATAGCGTGATGGCCGAGTTCTGGGAAGGTGATTGAGCTAGAACCTCAACGTAGTAATTACCAACACCATCGATGTTGTCGGGCCCCGGGCGAGACAGCGAGAAAGGCATAGTAGAGAGCAGAGACATTTGGGCCTCGCGAGAGAGACGAGTGGCTTTCGGTCCTTCGTCGTCGTGATTGCCAAAGATGGCAGCATAAGGTATAGAGCGCGAGATGAGGAGCTCGGCGAATTTGAAGATGGCGCTCTGGGCATCTGGTGCTGTGTCACCATTGACCTGGTCACCACCGAGTACGACCAAATCAGGAGCCTCTTCATCGAGGATGCGGCCAACAAAGTCAAGTGTGCGAGGGTCTGCTTCGCAGTTGCCCTTGATGTCGCCTTTTGCGTCAACGGCGTCTCTGCAGGCACCGGTGCCAGTACTCAGATGGAGGTCACTGAGCTGTATGATTTTGAACTTTCCGTCCTTGCGGATTCTTGGCACAACTTCTTTCTTGTCGGCTCGTAGGGGACCATGGCGAATGGTTATGCGAGCGGCCTGAAGACGGGAAGCGGCATCAAGGAGCAAGGGAGTCTGTGTGACAGACCACCCGGGACGTGGGTCGACCGCGTCAGCGCCAAATAGGACATCAACAGCAGTGACGGCCCTGTCGCTGTCGGAATCTTTCTTCTTGTTGCTCCTCAGGAGCCAGATGTTGCCAGGACGAGACTCCCACTGCTCTTGCTGCTGGCCCTTCTCGCCAACACCAGGGTCCAGACGGCCAACGCGAAGGTCAACAACAACCTTGTCGTCGTCGGTAAGCTCCTCCTCTTTTTTACGCTGTACGTGGAGAAATGCGGACGAGATCCAGCCGGTATGCAGATATAAGTCTTTTTCGATGCGATGCCATTTTGAAGGATCGAGCTGGCACGAGGACAGGGGGTTGATGGAGGAGCAGGTGGTTAGGGTGACATCGGTGACGATGAGGCCGGGATGGTGCAAGAAGTTCTGGGTATGGATGGAATGCGGGAGCAGGCGGTAGCGTGTGTCGACAAGGAAGACAAAGAGCAGAGCCGTGGCCAGCAGAGCGCCGAGCTGGCTGATTGTGCGAACCTGCGGCACCGTGTCAGTGGGACGTGAGTGTTTGTCGGCACGGGGCACGACCAACAATGCGACGGGTCATGGCCGGGGCTCTCAGGCATTGCGACAGCACGAGCAGGACTGTGCAATGCGGGTTGACCAACAAGAAAGAAGAAGAAGAAGAAGAAGAAGAAGAAGCAACTTTGGCATCAACTGACAGCCGCTGCTCTTCCCCACACGGAGCGAATGCGGCTGATCGCCAAACTCTATTGCAATCGATAAGCCTTTTTCAAAGCTCGTATCTGTATACGACGAGCCAAATCTGATTCTGCTTTGAAGCCTGCCCTGTCTTGCCTGCTTCTCCTGCTCACCACAAGATACCATGCGTGTAGTTTCAGCCCCTCTGCGCCGCATCTATGGCCAACGCAGGACTCTGACCACTTTTGTCGAACGTGATATCGTCATTCTCCGCCAGAAACTCAATCAAGACAATGTCATTGTGACAAAGCCTCTCAATCCTGCCAACAAGATCAACACCCACAAAGGCGACATTTCCCATGCCGACATTATTGGCAAGACTCCGAGAGACTTAGTTACCTCTTCTGCCGGCCATGCTTACAGAATTCACACCATTACCCTTGCTGAGTATGTCAGCATGACTAGAAGACTTGTAACTCCTGTAAGTTCTCCATCAACCTGATGTTTCTTCGACTTGTCTGACCTGTTACTTCCANNGATATACCCAGCCGACGCAAACCTCATTGTGAGCCTTTTCGACTTGCATCCATCTGCTACCGATGAGGGAGAGAAGATCGAACTTCTTGAGGCCGGTACTGGTCACGGAGCACTGACTTTACATCTGAGCCGAGCCATTCATGGTGCCAATGCTCGAGCCCCCAAAACAGCTCCTGTTTTGGATGGCACAGAGGACCAGCCCGTCACCGAGAGTGGTAGCAGTGAGCAGCAGCCTGAGAGTGACGATGCTTTGACCGCTTGGAAGGCTTCTCGCAAGGCTGTCATTCACACTATTGACATCTCTTCCAAGTATTCAAAGCATGCGGCCAAGATCGTTGCTGGTTTTCGCCATGGTCTCTACGCCGACAACGTTGATTTTCACGTTGGAGACGTTAGTGAATGGATCACATCCGAACACGTCCGTCGTGAGTCTGAAGAACCNTTTTTGACGCACGCCTTGTTGGATCTGCCCGCTACTCATGATCATCTTTCCGCCGTTGCATCAGCTCTCAAGAAAGACGGAACACTCATCATTTTCAATCCATCCATCACCCAGATCTTGGACTGTATTCAAAAGATCAAGCGACAGAACATCCCCTTGTTTCTTGACCAAACTTTGGAGCTCGGAAACAATGGAAGCAGCGGTGGTAAACCATGGGACTTGCGTGCCGTGAAGCCGCGTGCTTCATCAAAGGTCCAACCAGCAGAGGACGTTTCTGAATCAGCACAATCTTCAGGATCCGAAGGGTCAGAGCAGTCCATTACTAGAGATCCAGCACAGGCTTTGAAAGAAGCCAAACCCGAGGATTCAAACTGGACATACGTTTGCAGACCCAAAGTCGGAGAAAGGATCACGGGCGGTGGATTCTTGGGCGTCTTCCGGAAGATGAACGATACTGCGCAATCATAGGATTGTTCAGAGCTCACGCTGACCAGGAGTCAACTCTCCTAGGACTCTGGTCAGCACATCGATGAACACAAGCTGCTAACGGTCACAAGTCTGACTATACCTACCAAAGGCCTGATCCAATGTTTTGTGGTGCCTCGCCTTGATGTATACAAGTCTAGTCTGGCATCGCAGGCAGAGTTCCGGAAGACTGCGCCACCAGAGAGGCACATCTGCGTGCCATATTCATGGTCGATTACATGACTCGAGCAACGACCAATTGCGAGTCGTCGTCTGGATGCCATACTCCCATCAACATTCACTTCTAAACCAATCGGATCACGCGTTTCTCGCTAGCCAAGCGCATCTGCTTCGTGAGAGCACACGCAGCAATTTGTCTACTACGCACACCTCAATCTCGCTCCTTTCATTACCCCAAAACCAAGTCCAACATGACCAGCCAACGCCCTGCCGTGCCTCGCGCCGCTCCTCCACCTCCATCAAGCCACGAAGAACATGAAGACGAACAACCTGATGATCCACTTGGCGCAGACCCCGGCGAGGATCGAGTCAGCAAGTTGATCGACGACGCTCTGCAAATGCTCGAAGGCAAGAAAAACGTCGGCATATTCTGCATCTGCGAGCAGAATTGTCATTGTAAGGGGCACTGCAAAATCGCAGCAAGAGACGAGCAGTGCCGCTGTGGGTGCTTCGAAGGATTCTGGGGGAATACCGGTCTGCAACACGAGCAGCCCATGGATGCCGGTCAGTAAGGGTGAAGTAGTTTCTCTGAACTCATAAATTGACTTGTTATTGTCTCGCAGGCCAGGCCCAAGAAGCGCGTCCGGTCACTCCCCGATCCCTCTCCGTCTACAGTCAGGGGTCCATTCAAGCAAGCCTCCAGGGGCAGGAGCGTCGGGCTCAGACCCCTGACAACAACCACGCCTCGCTTTCAACAGCAGGCACCTGGAGCGTCAGTCGTGCCGAGCTCTGGGCCCGCCTTTCGGCACCGGGTCCCCTACGCCCACGACCTCTGTCAAATCCAAACCCGCCAGGGGTTAGAAAACTCTGTTCGGCCTCAGGAAAGACAAGTCAGAGTAAAGGGGGTGGTTGAGATGGTGGCGGGAGGAGGGAGCTGACTGTAACCCGAACGATTAGATGACAATGAAATTCTGATGTTGTTCAAGTTGACTTATTCATAATGACCCATATCTCCGTGTGAAGAAGACTGTCTGATATGTAGCTATAGAAATGCACAGTGTTTACCAGGTTTGGATGATGACCACTGAGAGACGTTGATACACGGGCATCTCTATGGGCACACTCTGGTTTGGTAAACTACTGTGCATTTTTATAGCTACATATGAGGACAGGACGTGAAGTCGGGAGACGTTCTAAACGTGCAGTGTGTTGCAAACATGGAGATCATGATCTTGCTGACTCGGAAGACACGGACCAAGCATCAGCGTCGTCATCATCAACTTCAATATGGCACCCCCAAGCAACGACAACATCGATCTACACATCATGATTGTGCGCAAGATTACCGCAACTAAGCTCCAAGCTGCGAGCTATTTACTTGGAGTTGCTCTTTTCTCTATCTCGTTCCTGGTGTTCTTGAATGCATCCATCTCGTTTGTTGTCACGGACGTCATCGGCCGCAAGCATGGTGTCGGCGATATAGTTGGCACATTAGGATTCGCCGACGAGCTTGTCGCTTTGGTTGCTTGTCCTCTCTGGGGACTATTGAGCGACAAGATTGGAGTCAGGAATGTGGCTGTGATTGGATATCTGGTCATTGGCGCCAGTCTCATGCTACTGGTGCAGAGTCACAATGTATACCCACAGCTGCTGCTGGGTAGGATGGCATTCAGCATTGGAGGCGCTGCATGCTCGACCATGGTCACCGCTATCCTACCGACAATGACAGCCGAGCGAAAACATATCACCCCTTCGGAAGCTGGCCAGACCTATGGAGAAGGTATCGCGACACCAACGAACCCCGGTGCCCGACACTCGGGCGCTTTCAGTATCAGTAGCGAGGTTACCATTACTCCTGCACGATATGTTCAGAGACCACCAAATCTCAGACGACGATCCCAGAAACGCCGCTTTGCTACAGACCCTGCCACACCGAAGAAATCGGATTTGAGTCAACTTGCAGGTTACGTAGGCATGTTTACCGGAATCGGCGCGCTTGTGGCTGTCGGTATCTTCCTACCACTTCCTGTTAAACTTTCTGGGAAGGGTGTGGCTCAGGCGGATGCCGTCAAAGACAGCTTCTACCTCGTCGGAAGCGTGTCTATCGTTGTTGCCTTGCTAGTATCTCTGACTCTCCGTGGACTTCCTGGTGAAGAGGACAAGGGTTTCCACAAGCTGTTTTACTCGGGCAAGAGTACCGACGACCATGATGCCAACGAATTTGCAACTCTGAACCCTACCCCGTCATACTACCAACTCGTCCGTTCCGCTATCATGCTAGGTTTCACCGACTCTCGAATCACTCTGGGCTATCTAGGTGGTTTTGTCGCAAGAGCTTCTTCTGTCGGCATATCACTGTTCATCCCACTCTTTGTCAACGCCTACTTTATCCGTGAAGGACTTTGCTCTGATGACCCAAGCGAAGACATCAAGTCCAGCTGCAAACGCGCATACACGCTCGCATCCATGCTGACCGGCTTCTCGCAATTGACTGCACTACTAGCTGCACCTCTGTTTGGATGGTTCAATGGCTACATGAGCAACAAAGGAGAACAGCTATCCTACTTTCCTCTAGGCATTGGCGCCATTGCCGGTATCATTGGAAGTATCTCGTTTGGTCTACTCGACAACCCCGATCCTTTCCACGGAAGCGCTGACGGCAAAGGTGCAATTTTGGCTGTCATCCTCCTTGGCTTTAGTCAGATCTCGGCTATCGTGTGCTCGCTTGGTATCCTCGCGAAAGGCATCCAAGCTTCTACGCCAACAGTATCGGAAGCTCCAAACACAGAACCAGATACCTTGCCTGAAGCCCAAGAGCCCTCCACCGAGCCTACCTCTGCAGAAGAACAACCAACAGAGACTGCACCCTTGTTACCCACCGTCAACGAAACTTCTGCACCACAAACGTCAACCGACCTCGACAGAGCACAGCTCAAAGGCACAATCGCAGGCGTATACTCTCTAGCCGGCGGCCTAGGCATCCTCCTACTCACAAAACTCGGTGGTGTGCTCTTCGACAAGACAAGCACAGGCGCGCCATTCTATATGCTCGCAGGCTTCAACGCCATTCTACTTTTCGCAGTCCTTGTCGTGTTTGTCGTGCAGAGAGTGCGCAAAGTCACGGTATCTGATGTTTAGAAATGGATGGCATCTCTTCTTCTTCTAGTGTCGGCTTTTTTTTTCTTTTTCCTTTGATGAGTATGAGACATGATTTCGGTGCCGAAAAAAGACATTTAACCACCTTTGCTTTCTTTACGTGTCTCGCCGGTTGTGTTTCGTATGGCTGGCTGCTAAGTGACCTATGCCGGTTATCGCGCTGCATGGGGTGTATAGACTCATCATGAGGAAGGAGAATATCTCAACACCATGCATGAAAGACACGATATAGAGACATTATGAGAAGCAGCCATCCATGGAAACAGAGTCAACATCTTATGCTTCCATACAAAAGGCACAATGGAGGTGGTCAAGCACCGAGAAGCAATGTTCGCCATAAGACTTTTTTATTGATGAAGAAAGATAATCACAAGGGAAGAAAGAGCAAAAGGAAGATTCAGGTGTAATAATGAGATGTATTAGGTTAAGAGAAGACTATCTACTTTTTTATATATGATTGGCAACTGACCCTGCATTTGCCGTTATACATTAGGAAAGCGTAGACTGTGCCAGCAGATATTGTTCTGTTTGGAAGAAAACGACAGGAGAATGGTAGAAGATGCCAGACCACATGTGGCATATGCAATAGACAAAGGAAAAGAGAAGCCAAGGCGAGCGCTTTAGTGGCGGGCGTTGGTGGTGCCGTTGAAGGGGACAATGGCAGTGGCAAAGGCAGAGGCCGATGCCTTGGAGGCAGAGGCGACCGAGGCGCGCGAGGCAGAGGCAGCGGCGCGGGACTCGGAGGCAACAGAGGCACGCGAGACAGACATGGCGGAAGAGGCAGATGCCTTGGAGGCAACCGACTGGGAGCTGGCAACCGATGCGTCGGAGGCGCGAGCAGCAGAGACCGAAGCGCGGGAGACGGAAGCGGCAGAGATGGAGGAAGCAGAAGCAACAGCGTTGGAAGAAGAGCGAGCAGCGACGCTGGAAACCTTGGCGGCGGAGGCGGCGGAGGCGGCAGAAGCGGCAGACTTGGAGGAGATGGAAGAGGCAACCGAAGCAGCAGATGCCTTGGAGGCAGAGACGGCGGCGAGTCTGGTGGAAGAAGCGTCGACTCTAGAGTTGGAGGCAGCGACAGACTTGGCGGAGGCAACAGAGGCAGCGGAGACGGAAGCCTTGGAAGCAGCGACGTTGTGAGCGCTAGATTGAGAAGCAAGCATGACCGAAGAGCGCGAAGCCTTGGAGGCAGAGATGACCGAAGCCTGGGAAGCAGAGACCTTGGCGCGAGAGACGGAAGCGGCGACGGCCTTGGAAGAGGACATGGAAGCCTGAGCGGCCGAGACACGAGAGACGGCAGAGGCCTTGGAGACCGAAGCAACAGAGGCGCGCGACTTGGAGACGGCGGCCTGGGACTTGGAGGCGATGGCAGACTTGACAGAGGCGGCCGAAGCTTGGGCAGCCGAGACGCGAGAGATGGCAGAGGCCTTGGAGACCGAGGCGACCGAGACACGCGAAGCCTTGGAGACAGAGGCGACGGAAGCCTTGGACTTGGAGACTGAGGCTCTGGAGACAGAGAGAGCAGAAGAGGCCGAAGCGCGGGACTTGGAAGCAACGGATGCGACCGAGGCCTTGGAAGAGGAGGCAGCAGCCTTCTTGGCCTGGGAAACGATACACTGGCAAGCAGCCGAGACACGCTTCATGGTCAAGCCATTGATGGGCGAAGAGTTGTGGGTGGAGGCGGAGATCCAGTTGTTACAGAAGGTGTAGGGAGCGCTCTCAGCAGAGCGGACACGAGCAATGTCGCTGTCAACACAGACGGCACCTCTGGCGACGAGGTCGTCAGCAGGGACGGCCTGGACAAGGGCGGCACCGAAGGCCATAACGGGGAGGAGGGTGGTGAAGTGCATGGTTGCTGAAGGTAGTGGTGGTGGTGGTTGGATGAAGTGGTGATTAAAGCGAGAGGATGTATAAGAATGTATAAGAGCGAAAGAGTGCCGAGCTGGTTAGTCGATTAGGCTGTAGAAGAGTAGATTGATCGTGCTGATGATTTGGTTGATGGGCGGTGGTTCGACGCCCTTTATATTTGCTGTAGACAGGGCCCTCCTGGTTCCAGGGTTGATAGAATTTTGGTTGATAGGGTTCTGCTCCAGTGACAACCGCTGCACTATTGCATCGCGTGTTGTTTCTCTGAACAATTGAGGCTCCAGAACCTTACGACCAGCAAGCTCAACCGGCTTCACCACATGGCTACCGTAAAGGGAAGAGAACCATGACCGTGCAGGGCTAGCCTTGCTGTTCTGGTGCAGCAATGCGAAGACACTTGAGCCAGGCCGTCGGCAAATAACCGAAGATTGCAGGTCTACACGGTCTGTCCATGCCTTTTGGATAGGCGAGGATCGTAAACGGGCCGTTAACATCAATTGTTGGAGTATACGCTGCAGGATCAATCAGACGTGTTTTTCACAAGGCTGACCTACAGAATGGCAAGGGCAGCCGCAAGTGTCAGTGTGAGTCCCGAAAGTTCGGTGCTAGAAGTAGAGCTGGCCACCGTTGTTATAGCCGTTGACATGGAATTCTTTGAAAAACGGCCTAAGTGTAGTCAACGCACCGTTTGAGAGCAAAGCGAGTCGAGCGTCAGAGGCGGTCTGGAAAGAGGGTCGTCTGTTGCGGCAGTCGCCTGCTGCCATGCGGCGGGTACGCCTGACCGTTGCGAAAATCAACCGTTGTAATAAGTTCCCTTAGTAACCGCTCATTGGGTGTCGATTCGACAGGACGATACTGAGGTAATGCGTGTGGAGTGGCTGCGGTAGGCGATGCCAATCTGCTTCAAGCTCAATTTGCTTCGATGCTATCTCGTATAGAGGGGCCGTTGGAGCAAGCGACCGAGTTTTGCCAAAAGTCATACTTTATCACAAACTGAAATGTAAGGATGGGGTCTGTGTTAGCACGGAGGAAGGCCACTGCTACAGCGCCCAAGTAGATCGATGTATGCTGGGTCAATGAACAGGAAACGTAGGCCGATAGTCGGGTCAGGGATGAGACAACAGGTTAAGCGAATGGGACCGCAGTCGAGAAGTGTGAATAAGCAAGCACTCGGCAGGCCCGGAGTGGCTCGCGTGATAATGGCATACAGGTAGGCAAGGAGCAGTGGACTGTGTATTGCGAGCAACGGTATGGAGGCACGCGAGTGGCCTCGTCTGGGCAGGAAGGGACGTTGTCAGGGCTTGGACAGGCTACCGCAAAGGTCCGAAGCGATCGAGGTGTCACTTCCTTGTACGGCCAGATTTCAGCGCCTCAGACATGACTGATCGGCAGTCGCGTAATGTTGAGCCCACGTGGAATTGGTACTTATTGGGGGGTCGAGGTTTCTCGTTGTATAGGCTGGGCAAGAAGATCCAAGTTCATCAGCCGTTGGCAAGACAAGTAGACGCCCAGACCGTCAATAGTTGCTTGACGAATAGGGCATGGGCAAGCTGAGCCGACCAACACGTGAAGCAGCTCTCGTTGCGGAGTTTAGCTGAATATTGCCGTTGGCGCGTCTTTTGAGCTGTCGCTGTCCAGATGCTTCATCTACAAGCGACCACCTCAACAATGTCCGACGCCCTCTCGACTCGACCCCGCAAGGTGTGCTTTGTGACGATTGGCGCGACCGCTTCCTTCTCAGCTCTGATCCGCGCCACCGTCTCGTCGTCCTTCTGCCACTCGCTCGAACAGAACCACTACACAGACTTGATCGTCCAGTATGGCGCCGATGGTGATGACTTGTTCCACTCCCTGGTGCACGACTTAGATTCGGACAAACAAGGGAGCACCATCAACGTGTCTGGATTCGGACTGGACACGAGCGGTCTTGGACAATACATGAAGCTGGCAAAGACGGGCGGAGACGGCAGCGGTGCAGAGGGCCTTGTCGTCAGCCATGCTGGCTCAGGAACCATTCTCCATGCCCTGCGTGTCGACGTGCCGCTAGTCGTCGTGCCCAACTCGGAGCTCTTGGACAACCATCAGGTCGAGCTGGCAGACGCCCTTGCTGAGCAGGAGTATGTTGTCCACGGCAAGCTGGAGTAGGTATCCCTCTGTACTCGACTCTCCTTCGGGCACTGACATTTCTGCAGAAACCTACCGCAAGCACTACTCGATGCCGAAAAGCTACGACTCCGGCANAAGGTGTGGCCACCAATCAACTCGGGCACCCATCGACAGACCAAAGGCCTCGCTGGCGTCGTCGACGAAGAGATGGGATTTTTGGTTGATTGAGTCTAACACTCTTCACTTTTGCGCAGGCCGCAAACCCTTGGACAAGACGCGTCGCATGGCCGATACATGATAAATATGCATTTACGACGTCACGAAGTATCTTCGGTTTGAATACGAACATCACATGGCCCCCTGGATCATAGAACTAGGGCACGTCGCACGGCATCAGGATATCACAGAGAGTTGGATCGCTCGGATCGGCGGTGCGGGGTGCATCAAAGTCAAGCTTCACCCACAACCAAGCACGACAAGCGGCAGAAATCGATGGAATAATTTCTCCACGAGTCTTCGTCTACTCCCACACCGCATACAGGAATTGATGCGGGCAGAGTGGAAACGCAACGCAAACCATCCTCTTTACAGGAGTCGTTTAAGCCGACGCATTCGATGGCGGCAGCTAGCAAGCGTATATATATCACGCCGCCTTTCTCATTTTGACCTTTGAACCTTCAACTCTTCGATACCACGCATCGGACGACAACTATGGTCTGGAAGTCAATNTTCCCCCTCGTCGCTGCAACACTAGGTCTATCCAGCGTAGCCTATAGTCTACCAAGTAACCAGCCAAAGCATGGCCACTACCCTGGTTGGGCAGGAATCAAGCACATTTTTGCCTTGTGAGATATATGTAGCGGGGTCCTGAAAGCCAACTAACAGTGTTGGAAGNNTGGTGACTCGTACACGACCACAGGCTTCAACACCTCTCTCACCCAGCCAGGGCCTGGCAATCCCTTCGGCAATCCGACATACCCGTAAGCATACTGTACCTCTGAACATAGCACTAGACCAGTATATTGAACATAGTTCTAGNNAGGATACACATCTTCCAACGGGCCCAACTGGATCGACTACCTAACAACAACATACAACAAATCTTTCATCGAGACTGTCAATCTGGCCTTTGGCGGTGCAACCGTGGACTCCGCCCTCGTGGCACCTTATCTCCCTACAGTACTGTCTGTAAAGGAACAAGTCCAAGACGAGTACTTACCCATCTATGCCTCTCACTTCTCTCCCGTCCCATGGACCTCCGACGACACTCTCTTCACAATCTTCATCGGCATAAACGACATCGGCAACAGCTACGCCTCGCAGAACGCGACTCTGCTACCTACAATCTTTGCCGAGCTCTCCGGCCTCGTGGAATCCCTTTACACTAGCGGCGCCCGCAACTTTCTCTTCCTAAACGTGCCTCCAGTGGATAAATCGCCATTGACCCAATCTGCAGGCCCTTCGGCCCAATCCCTCGAAGCAGGAGCTATCGCAGATTGGAATACTCGTCTATCCTCCCTCTCCAAGTCTTTGACTAGAAAACACACAGACGCCACATCCTTCGTTTTCGACACGCACAAAGTGTTTTCTCGCGTTATCGAGCATCCCTGCGCTTATCCACAAACCTGTGCATACCAGAATACCACGACGTTTTGCGAGGCGTACATGAACGGAACACCCTCGCCTACTTCTTTTGATCCTGCGTGTGGAGTTTCGGTGGACAAGTATCTGTGGTTGAATAGTTTGCATCCGACGTTTAGAATGCATGAGGCCATTGCCGCGCAGATGGTCAAGTTGATCAAGTAGGAAAGGATGGATGGCTTGGTGTATGCTGTCTTGATATTTAGAGTGATGCAATCGAAATTCTTGTCCCTGTTCCTTTGTCTTGAATTGATGTCTGTGAGACACCATGCGGATCCACCTCGAGTAGAAACATGGTGTATGAATTGCGTTCATCTTTCCGAGTATTTCTTCCTGTCACATGAGAAAAAGCCGTTGGACGTCAAAACGGCTCTGGACTGGTGGCCAAGGTCATCACCCTGATCTCGATATATTACTTCATCTGTATACCTCATTCTCCTATGTACGTGTTAGAATACACACCAGATCTGCCGTAGGTACCCCTGAAGCTGCTATAGGTGTTTCACGGATGCCCAAACCAAGTCTTGGGTCTGATTGGCTGGTGATCGATAATATGCAAGATTTCCGAGAAGGATTATTGAAGATGAGATACGGATTCCGAAAGAAAGTAATATTCGATTCACATTGCTTAGATGATGCACAAGACGCACAAGGAGTCACCAGATAGATCAAGTACGCCATGAAGAACAGGTAAAAAAGAGTATTAATTGGAGACAAGAACCAGAGCAAGAACTCGGAAGACTAGAATATCCGGAGCCAGGGTGTCACCCACGGCAGCGTGACGCAAAAACCAGGTCTGAAGTCTCAGCTCGAGGGGGTCAGACAAATAAAAACTTTCCGAATAGACCGATCTTGACCGAAGCCAGTGTCGTATACAGCGAACATTTTCCGAAGAATGCCCATCTACGGGGACTCTATCCTTTGACCCTACCCTCGGTCGACAACCAGGTCGCAAACTCGACAGGGTTTCGAGTCTGCATGAAGATAGTGCTGGGCAGAGTCAGCAGTGAATTGAACTCTATGAAGGAAGAAACATACCCAGGGCCTGTGAACTTGCAGACCAAGCCCTCGCTGGCACTCAGATTGGACATTATCCCACCGCTCGCAATACGTTCTAGGACGTACTTGGCGTTCCATGCAACCAGGTGGCCATTGTCGATGATGTACTTTTCACCTGGTTGAAGCTATTCTGGATCAGCACAACGCCCTGTCTTACAAGACGAGAGACTCACGTCTTTTCGGATGATGGCACCCAAGCTGCTGATCCATAGGATACCTATGCCGGAGACTTTGTAGACGAAGAAGCCTTCACCAGAAAACATGGCCTTGCTGAGTCCTTGAGCCTTGTAATCCTTGACGACACCNNTATGATTGGTTTCAGTAAGAGAGTTGACATCGTATAAGATGTTGCACAGCTTACCCTGAGTACAAGCCAGGAAAGCATCTTTGCCTACGTTCCACGTCTCTTCTCCTGTGAGTCGGATGTTGGTAATGTCACCAAGAGAGGCTGGTGCGAGCAAAAGTTCGCCAGGACCGGTGAAGGTTGATGAAGCCATATGACCACCGGCGACCAATTTCTTGAAGGAGAACTTAATCGCACCTTGCAAGGTCATGGTCGGGGACATGGCGATCATGGCTCCTGGTTTGACGGTCAAGGGACAGCCCATAGCAAGTTGCAATGTGAGAATAGTATTCGTGTCTCTGTGGCTGATTCTGTAGCTTCCTCCATTGAAGGTGCCCACGTCGTCGACAGTTGCGCCTGCTCCGACAAAGTGTGTCTGAGGTGGTGCACCGCCAGCCAGATTGCTCGTCAGCGAAGTATTGAGCGGAGGTCTGGCAGGCTCCTTTGCTCTCTCCATGGTAGGCTGAGTGTTCTGAGGAGGACCGGGGTAGTAAGGGAGGGTTTGTTGCTGTGGCGAGACAGGACTTGGCTCGTACTCGTGTGCACCTACGTTGGCAGCAGGTGGAGGTGGCGATGCTGGAGGAGATACGAACTGTGTTTGAATAGGCTGTGGAGCAGCGCTGTACGAGAAACGATTGTTCTCTGGCGGAGGAGCGAAGTGCTGTTGTGGTGATGGCGGAGGTTGGGGAGCTGCTGAGTAAGAGGAGCTCCTTACGCCGTCATGTTGATCGGCAGCTGGCGGAGGTGGATAGTGCTGTGCGTTGGCTGGAGGTGTATGTGAGGTCGGAGGAGCGAAATAGCTCTGCTGCTCTGAAAAGCGTCACGTTAGATGATTATTGTGAGTAGTTGGCTGACAAGTCTACCTTGAGGAGGAGCTAGGGATTGTTCGTTAGCGATACCCATTCTGTCTGTTGTACGAATGATGGCTTACGAGGAAAGTACTGGGCTTGATTGTTTGCCATGATTGACAGACAGCCTTAGCAACCAAGGCAAGAACGATTGTTGTAGTACCTTCTCAATGTACCTTCCACTTCCTGAGGATCCAACGACAACAGAAGGGCAGGAACAGGAACAAAACTTACAACAAGGCCGCAGAGTAGCGACTGCCTCGAAACTATTAAATACTCCCTACCTCATAGCCTTGTGAGCACGCTTGCAGGCCGCTGTGCGATGCGATTGGAGCAATGCCCCACCAGCGCGCAAGCGCTGCCATCAGCGTCGGCGGCTACAGTCCTTGGCCGCAAGACATGTCCTCCTGCTATCTGTACTCTGCTGTGCGTGCCTCTGCTCTTCAGTCTACAAGACTATCTCAAGAGAGTTCGTGTCCTCAGTATGCGCAACATGCCCCGCCAACCCTCAGGCTTGTCGCGTCCCACCGGCTCGTGCATGTCCGAGTGCATCGCTTATGCCCACACAAAGCGCGATTGCAGGCAGAAAGCATCATTTGCGAATCCTCCTGGCATCGTCTGATTTCACAAGGCGCAGTCTGTTCAGTTCACCCGTCGGTAGCTCCAGACATGCAGAGACAGCAATGAACGCAATTGGTTTCTGTTTTCGAGTGAGTCAGCTTTCGAGCCAAAGGTACCCCGCACATCGATAACTACTTTCTGCAAGTAGGGAAGCCCCCAGTAACCTGACCATGGTTGGCCTGGCGTTTGCCCATGACTAGTGGCCTGTCTCACCGGGGTGTTGCTAGATATCCTGGGACGCACCATTCCTGTTTGGGGACACCGCGATGGCTCGCTCTTGATTGGCCAATTCTGCACTCGAAGGATGGAGATGAAGGCTTAGCTTCCTTTCGGTGACTCGACGGGGAGCACCTTCGTCTGACGGTATTTACCCAGCTCGTGTCCAGACTCGAGTCTCTTGGTCTTTTGTTTCCTATCATTCTTTTCGACAGTCTCGCTCACCACCCGTAACTGCACGGCGTGGTCTTGTTGATAGAAGCGACCAACCGCAAAACCGCTGCCTTGATAGCCACCATATCATCCGCAGACTGCGCGAATCTCTCTACTCATTTATCTCTATCCTTCAAAGAAATCAAAATTTCTTCATTCTCAAGCTTCATTCAAGATCCAGAATCAACCTTAGCAATGGCATTGTCTACCCAGATACCCATGGTCGGATACTTCATCTACCGCTCAGGTGAACAAGCCGACCCAACCGCTCTCGAGTTCTGCCCTCCTAAGGGTTCCGACGAACTCTTCTTCGCTCTGAAAACCGCCTACCCTCACGTCAAGACTCACTCGGACCGCATGAGAAACGCAGTTATCGAATTTCTCAAGCAGGAACTCAACGAGGAACAATCTCAATTGTCGACCCCTATCATCCCTATGGAAGCCGATCTGTCTTACGATATCCCTACCGAATCTCCCTGGTGGCCCTCCATGGACTCCACTACCTCTACCCTCAGCAGCCCCGATCTCTTCAACCTGGCCACTCCTGCATCAATGTCCTCCTCCCAAGCTCCTACAATGAGCCGTCAGAACTCCTCATCTCAGCCCAGCTCTTCCCAAAAAGCCAAGCCTGGTCTTGAGGAGATGACCGGTGTTTTTAGCTTGTCATCGACTTCACAACCCAAGACTCGCGTACGCAGGAAGATGACCGAGTCCGAAAAGCTCGAGTACCGCAAGCGTCGTATCGTCAAAGCTTGCGACTCGTGCAGCAAGCGTAAGCGAAAGTGCTCTCACAACCAGCCCGAGATGGAGAAGGTTCGTTCTTCCAAGGTTACCAAGCCAAAAGCACCAGCATCGACCATCAACTCGGCGCGTGTCGATCAGATCGAGAAAGCCGTCTTCCAGCTCGCGGAACCTTCTATCGTCGATGAGGATCCCTTCGTGTTCCTGAACCAAAACATGTTCAGCGACCTTCCTGCCACCGATGAATTCTTCTTCGACGCTGCTGCAACTACTCAAGTTCCTCAGCAGACCACCTGGCCATGGAGCGATACTGCTGACTGGACTCTTATTGACACTCCTCTACTCGCTCAAGCATCACCATCATCACCATCCTACCAACAAGCACTATTCCCTGCCTCGACCGGCCTACTTTCACCACAGCCGACACCACAACTAGAACTGATACACGAGCCGGCGGAACAAACACGAGCCTCAGATCTACCAACAACAACACAAACACCTACTCGCACGTGTCGCACCTTCTCAGACTTCTCCCGTACAGCCTTCTCTACTGCCGACGGACTCGACGGCAAGGAGCAANNAAGCGCCTCTATGGGTCTCTCAACACCAGGCGACATGATGTCGCCATCACAACTGCGTAACCTGTACTCTCCTTTGGCAACTCTTAACGGATCTCAATCATCTCTCTCCCTTCGCGGCTCCGCGACTGAAAAATCAACCATGTCTTCTGGCAGCGCCGAGATGGCGCCACCATTGGTTCCACAGGCTCATGGATTGACCGAGAATGCCCGTCGCCCTGAACTACCACAAGTTCGAAGCACTGGTAGCGGCATTGCTGGTATTGGCCTGACTAGTGGACTAAGCCAAGTACTTTCACAACAACCAAGCAACGGTCAAACTGGCGCAGGACTACGCCGCGTAGTGACCGAAAACAATGCTACGTCTCCCACGAAATCGTCGGGAAACCAACATATCGGGAACTCAAGCAGCATCAGCGACACAGGTAAACATAACATCATGCCCAAATTTCCCTTGAGAATTTTGCTAACGTTAGACCANGCTGCAATTGCCGAAAGCGGACTACAGAGGACGGCCAGAACGATCCTACCTGCTAGATCAAATGCAGGACTTGCACAAGTCTCGCTCAATGCAACTGGCCAGCTGTCCACCCCGATTGCCGAAGCAAGCAGTCACGTACTTAGTGGTACGATGAACAGACAGCCCGCCGCTTCTGAAAGCATGTATTGTGAAAGTACTGCTGCTACTGGAGAAACATCATCAGCAGCGCGACCGTCCAGTCTGTCCGCCGATTCGACCAGTACATCGTCATCAACGAGTATAACTCGCACAACACCTGCTAGTCTACAGCCACGATCTCAGGCTGCTAGTCCGGACCTACATGGCAGACTCCCTGCAGCAGGCACGCCATCGACGCTCAACCCCGCGATCGCACACCACGAAGACCCCGAGAAGCCGACCTTGGTCACGCAGACCGAGGTCCGTCTCGAGGGAAGCGAAGAATCCTCGCCCAAGCAGGGCGAACAGATTCGACGACTACCCCTCAAGTCTGGACTGACTGTCGCAACTCAAGCAGCAGCGACGCCCTTACAGCCTCTTCGTCACCGTCACAAGCGATCGCCCGGACAAGCCATTGCTCCTGCAACCTCTGCTAGCCTTGATCTTGATGATACAAGGATTGCGGCTGCCGTGTTGGTGGCCCAGGTTTGCATGACATGGCGGGCTATGGCTAGTGCATTCGTGCAAGCTGTCTCGACACGCACGTCTTGTGGAAATGAAACCAGAGATTGCACCTCTCTGTCTGTCTCCAAGGCTGTGCTGTTGACTGCTTAGCACGACGAGGGTGAGCTCGATAAATCAACTGTTTTATTCTTGATAGCGTTTTTGTTCTTGGATGTCTTGCGCAATGATGACGAAGGAAAGGATGGCGACGAAGATAATGAGATGGAAGACGTATCGGAGGAAAAGTAATCTGGCGTTTTATTGATGTTTCGGTTTCTTTTTGTTATTTCCAGTCTATGAGTTACCTATGGTAGATGGGCTTTTTTTCTTTCTCAACTACACTCAGTCGACCTTCAAGTAGAGTCTTTGCAAATGCAGACTGATCATTACTACATTCCAACTCGACATATCTCCCACGCACGTTTTGTGAATCACACAAGCATACGATATTCCGGGAATCACAGAGTAGCAGCAAGAGATGGCATGGCCGTTGTCACAAAGCAACCCACCTCCACAATCCACGCCCACCACGAAACCACGACACCTCCATCACATCTCACAACCAAATCAACTACCAAATAAGAAAAGTAAAAAGACAATGCCATCACCAGACTTGAACCACGCCATCACCCACACCACACTATCACGGCTCCAGAGTCTGGTGAGAAGGCTCTGCGACGCGTCACCCACCGCGCGAGCTCTAGTCGAGCAAGAGCTTTTGGCCTCCTCCTCAGCAACCAATGTAATCGATCTCACGTCCGAGGAGCCACAACAAACGATTCAACAGATAGTCAGCACGGACAGTGCAAAGAGACAGCGCTATGCCATGTGCGAGCACTGCAAGGAAGAATTCGATGTCACTGACAATGCAGAGGATAGTTGTCAATATCATGANAGGTAGGTTGCTTAATTCTTCTTACATGTTTCCTTCGATCTCTGCATATGTGATTACTCTCAGACAAACAGAGAACGGCGCGCTGACCCTAAGTAAAACTACATAGGGAGTCTCGAAATCGATTGGGACGGCGACTTTTGGGCCGATCATGATGAAGACTGTCATGGCACCATTGACTTGGATCTTGCAGACGAATCCCCTGAAGGCTTTGAATGGACGTGCTGCAAAGGCGATGGAGACGCAGAAGGGTGCACGACAGGTCCGCACAAGGTTGATGAGAGGTATAAACCAGAGGAGGTCAAGAGGAGGAGAGTTTAGAAATGAGCAATGTTATGCATCTCAAGAACACAAGGGTTATGTACAAGAAGTCCACTTTCGTGGATCCGAACCGTGTTTGGTTTGTGAAGTAGATCTTCTCATGAGCGTATCTCGCTGCCACCATCCTATGCTTATGCTATCAGTTTGTCTCATCATGGTTGTGTTGGCGTTCACTCTCTACCCCCTCTTCTCACACTCCAATCTTTCCTGCAAGACAGACGGGAAGTGTGAGCGGACAACATCTTCCAGCATCGGCGCTAGGCATAGACATTCTGAAGTCTATAGCTGGGACGGCTGCTTCACCATGGCTCGGGTCGTGGCAGGTACGTCCGGAGCTCAGCCAACCAGTCTTGCGAGCAGCGACGGCTCTCGAGCGCGAGAGCTCTTGAGTGGTTTGTTTTGTTGTGTATCGCATCTTTCTTCGGATGCTTCTCACAGAGAGGCAGCGGCCTCGACGGCACCAATACCCTTGAAGAGGCCGGGATTCGTGATTTCGATGTGTACTGGGTATTTCCATTCCATGTATTTGGTCCATCNCTGTTGTTCGTTGCATGTCAACAAAGTCCATCTTCTGCATATTCTGAGTGTCCCAAACTCACCCCAATAAGCGGCTTTACGGCCGAAGTATTTGCCCAAGTAGGGCACAAGGACCATTGTGAGAAGCAGCTCGAGCTGTTGTAATGACTCTTTCCATTCTCTTTCAGCGTCGGACTGCCATTCTTCTTCCGAGGGCGAGATGGAGGTTGTGCTGGCCGAGGTCGAGGGTAGGGAGTCGAGATCGTCCGAGGATTCTGAGGCAGCGCGGGGAAGATTGTCGTATGATTGGTCTGACATGTTTGCTGCTTGTAGACACAGGGAAGGAGCGATGGGTCGGCTGATATGCGTCGTTTCAAACAGCTCTCTTGCTTGTCGCCAGCAGTCGCGCTGCATGACGACTCCCGACTTCCGACAGTGATATCTCTTGGCACTTCTTTCCCCACACTCTCAACCCCAGACTAGGTGAACGTGCCAATTTTCAGAAACGGAAAACTAAAAAAAAATAAGTTGCATCTTTTGTTCAGCTCATATACAACAACACCACACAAAAGATGGGCAAAACACGCGATCCCAGCCCGAGCGCAAGCTCAAATGCCTCTTCGGATGCCGAAGAACCCAAGGTCACCAAGGTCGAAAAGACAAAGAAGCGCAAGCGCGTCGTCCTGCCCGAAGATGAAATCGAAGTCGACGTCAACGCCCCGGAGCCGCCGTCCAAGAAGGCCATGCGTGAGGCCAAGAAGGCCGCCAAAAGAGCAAAGGACGATCCTGAAGGTGCCGCTGCTGCCGCCGCCGCTGCAATCGCCGCCGCAGATGGAGAGAAGAAGCGCAGTGACTATGGTATCTGGATTGGAAACCTGGCTTTCGCCGTCGACAAGGATATGCTGCGTGTCTTCTTTACTCGTCAGGCGCAGATCCCTGATGCTGAGATCACTCGCTTGAACATGCCTGTTCCTCAGGGTCCTCCCCAGCCCGGCCGCACCAAGCCTTCGAACAAGGGTTTTGCCTATGTCGATTTCGCTACCGAGGAATCCCTCAACAAGGCCATCGCCATGTCTGAAACTCTTGTCAGCGGCCGCAAAGTCCTCATCAAGAACGCAAAGAGTTTCGAAGGCCGCCCCGCCCAGGCAACCGCTACCGTAAACGCCCTCGCCGGCAACGCAGACTCGAGCGAAGCCGCTGCAGCAGGAGGTGCAGCTCCCAACAAGATCGGTCCCAATGGCAAGCCCGTCATGCCCCCCAGCAAGCGTGTCTTTGTCGGAAACCTCAACTTTGACGTCACTAGAGATGATTTGGAAACCCACTTCGCTCAAGCCGGAGAGCTGGAAGACGTCTTCATGGCAACCTTCCAAGACACCGGAAAGTGCAAGGGATACGCCTGGGTCCGTTTCGCCGACCTCGAAGCCGCAGAGTCGGCCGTCCGAGGCTTCATCTGGAAATTCGACGAAGCCAGTGACGACGAGGAAGAAGAGGAAGACGAGGAGGAAGAGAAGGAAGAAAAGGCAGCCTCAGCCTCAGGTTCAGACTCCGACAGCGACGATGAAGACGCAACAGAAAAGCAGGAGACCAAAAAGACAACGAAAAAGCCAAAGAAGCAAAACAAACGCAAATGGTTCATCAACCGCCTCCACGGCCGCCCCTTGCGCTGCGAGTTCGCCGAAGACGCCAGCACACGCTACAAGAAGCGCTTCGGCAAGGAAAGACCCGCCACAGAGTCACACATTTCAGACGCAGCACCCATCACCGAAGTCGACGGTGGAGCAGCAGAAGAGAGACCTCAAAAGAGATCCAGACCAAAGGGTGACGCAGACGCCAGACAGGAAATGCGCAGAAAGAAGTTTGACGCCAGAAAGATCAGACCGGGTAATGCGTTGGCGAATGCGCCGAGAGCTTCTGCTGCCATTGTCGAGGCTGCGGGTAAGAAGATTTCGTTTGATGATTAGATGGATTGATGGAGTTGTTTTTGCATTTGTGTTGGAGGTGGTATATATGGCAGTACCTGTTTTTTTGGTGGTCGGAGAGCACTTTTGTGATGAATACAGCTTTCTCTTTCATCGTGTCCAATTTCTCTGCTTTGCTCGATGTGTGATACATGGTATGGTTACACTCTTTGGTCGCTACATTTGTGCACTGGTATTTGTCAAGGCCGGCTCGCAACATCTTGAGATATCCTCTTTTGAGGAGATGGATGTTTTCAACAGTCATCCGATCGTGTAGAAGCAGCTATCAACAGGGCTCTATTCACAAATTATAGACTACCATCTACCTCACACAGCAAGGCGAAAACCACCATCCCCAATCCCAAACTCCAGCAAAAGAATCCCATCGCCAAATTCGCAGACACGTAAAAAGCCGACCTTACCCTCTTAAAGTGCAATCAAACCATCAATTCAGCAGCTCTAACCCTCCACCCCTCACCAAATCTCCTCATACTCCAAATGACCAAGACACCAGAAACCAAACACCAAATCCCAATGACCGTAAACAACCATCCATCCCCACACCAATCAATCAAAGGACTGGCAACAAGAGACCCAACACAAGAAAAAATATTGCGCACGAAATTGTTCAACGCAATACCGTGACTAGCTTTGTTTGGCATAAACTCGGTAAGCATGGTGGTGACCACAGCAAAGATTAGCATACTTCCGATGCCGAAGAAAAAGTTTGCAATCATGGGGACTATCCAGATGGTGCCATAGCGAGCGGTCCAGCCATACCAGATCAGTGCGAGAGGAAACATGATGGCACCCAGCCATGCATTTTCTCGCAAGCGGTCTTCGGGTCGGTAAATGAGGTGGCCGTGTTCATCGTAACGATTCACTTTCTTAGCTTCGCGAGCCATGATTCTGTCGACCCATTTGCCGCCGAACAGGGAAGCGAGAAAGTAGCCTAGTGAGTTTGGAATGTAGAGGAGACCCACGATGATGGTGGAGAAGCCATATGGTTCAGAGTCGAAAGTCTGTTGGACGGAGATGTTGAGCACATAGAGGGAGCCAAAGGTGATACTAGCATAGTAGACGACCAGTGCCACGGCTGGGATGCGCAGATTGAGGATAATGGCCAAGGGGTCGACGAACCAGCGACGGAAGATGGCAACGTAGCGTTTTGATTTCAGAGCTACACTTTGTCGTGTGCTGGTGCGTGAAAGCGTTGGTCTGGTGTTGGTGTCTTTCTCTGAGGAAGCCGCGATGACCGAGGCAGGAACGGTGTCCTTGAGCGTCTCTGGCAGGAAGAAGAGAAGGAAGAACCAGAGAAGTGCTCCATAGATTGTGGTAAACCACATACAGCTCCTCCATCCGAGTCCTTGCGTCAAGGCTCCTCCGATAATAGGGGCAAGCAGGGGTCCACACAGAGGGCCGAGATAGAACATGGACATGGCATTACCGCGTTCTTTGACATCCCATACATCGGCAATGGTTCCAGCACCCACAGCTTGCACCGAAGCAGCAGCACCTCCAGAGAGAACACGCATGACAATGAACATGGCAATGTTTACACTGACAGCGCTCAAGATGTTGAAGACCAGAAAGAGAAAGAAAGAAACCAGATAGATAGTCCTTCGTCCAAGGGTCTCTGAGAAAGAACTCCACCATAATGGAAAGACACTCATGCTCAACATGTACAAGGCAACCGAAAGGTTGGTGACTGTAGACGAAGAATTGAACTCGCGGTCAATTTGTGACAGGGCAGGCAAGATAATGCCACTGCCCATTGGAGCAGCAGCACCTGCCACTGCGACGACAAAGGTGATGAACCATTTTGTCCTGCGAGCATAGTGTTTGGGATCCTCGACTTCGGCAATGATGGCCGCGCGGGCTAGCAGCCCTCTTCTTTGACCTTTGGGCACGAATATGGGGTCGATGTCTTCACTGGCTATCGAAGCCGTGGCTTGTTTCTCGAGAGACGATGCATCTTCGTGATCCGGGCTTGGTACAGGATGTATCCCGTCGGTTGTGGGCAGCGGTGCAGAGATTGACTCGACTTCTGGCTGGTCTGGCACTGGGATAGAGTGTATAGAGTGTGTATCAGAGCTTGTCGACTTGGTGTCTTCCGAGTGCTGGTCGTGTGAGCCCATCATGGCGTATCGGCGTTATGCTCGCCTTTCTCCGAGCAACCGTTATGCGGCAGTCTGGCGACGTCGACGGTGGTTTCACGCAACAAGACGCGTGAAGGTCTGTAGAAAGGCAGAGTCCAGTGAGCCATAGCTACATGTCTCTTTGAGCTCTCGCCCATAGTCAGGCCGTTTCGGCTCTTCAAAAATTGAGCGGACTTCACTCAAAACCCAAGAAGCCATGCCGAACAGCCGAGCCTCTCCAATCCTTCCTAATCTGGTATAGTCTCTGAGCTGCAAGCCGACTTCCGATCAAGACCCCTCTTTACATCTCTTCACATCTCCCGCACAACATCTTGAAATCAGTCAGTCAGACTCCTACATTTGGCCTCTCTCTTGTAGCAACACATGGATCTTGGTCCGTCCCAGGGAAATGGTCCATTAGAAGTGCTATCTATCTATGCTGCGACATACTTGTGGAAGAAGTCGACATAATCAAAGAAACTCCTTTTGTAGTGTCTCTCAAACTTTCCACTCGTCCTGTTGACAGTCTGGAGACCATACTGGTTCTCGTAAGATCCAAACTCATTGTTGTCAACGAAGCTCCACGCCAATGCTCCAACGACGTTGACCCCATCCAGGTGCATCGCCTTCAGTGTCTCCTTTAGGAAATCTTCGTAGTAAAGAGCTCGCTCGGTATCATACAGCTGCTCGACAAGCTTCTTTTCCGACTCCATGTATGGGTTGAATCCAAACTCGGAGATGAGGATACCGGAGGGCTTGAAAGTGTTCCACACATAGCCCAGTTGTTGGCGGACGTATTGAGGTGCAATGTATGCGTAGTCGTTTGACTTTTGGCCTACCTGCCATCCGTTCTGTTGGATCTCGGTAAGGTCAGCGCATCGAGGCCAAAGGGGATCGCTGCTATTGTTGATACAGCTGTCGAATCCATTTGCTGGCTCAGAGGCAAACTGCGAGACATAGGGGTCGAAAGCCCACAAGTCAACCGTACCGTTGATGTACGAGATTTGCTGTGGCGTCAGAGCTGTCAAATTCAGGTTTGGCGTGGCCAAAACCTCTGCCGGGTATTGCTTTCCCAAGAACAAAGGGTTGGCCATGATGCCGAGAATGAAATCTTGGTAGCGCGACGCTGCCGCCAAATCAGAACTTTTGTTCAGGTCGCGTGGTACAGCAAGGTTGTTGGCGAACTTGATGGTGATCTTGCCAGTACCGCCAAGGGTCTGCTTGTACCACTTGTACACTGCCGAGTGTGCCATGAGGATGTGAGTCAACCCATTGTAGGTGTGGAAGCTGTACGGCATGCCAATGTTGGGCTCGTTGAATGTGACCCAGTATGGGACATGTTCAGCATATCTGGCCATGACCTGCTTGGCGTAATACAAGTAATCGGCGGTAAAGTCCTCGTCCAGACTGATAGATGTTGGTGCATCAACATGAACCAGAGTAACAACAGGCTTGATGCCGTACTGGAGACAAGTCTTGATCAAATCATCGTAATGATCCAGGCCTTGCGTGTTGACCGGGCTGCCTGCGACACCAAAAGGCACGATTCTCGACCAAGAGATGGAGAAAGAATAGTACGGCACTCCGATGGCAGCGAGTCTTGCAATGTCTTGCTTATAGAGGTAGTAGTTCATGTCGGCTTCCACAGAGTCATTGCCACTAGGCATACCGCCAGGACCCTGGTTGCCGAGGCCATCGAGGTTGCCAGGTCCTCTGCCTTCCTGCTGGAGTGCACCCTCGATCTGCCATGCACTACCGGCAACACCCCATATGAAGTTCTTGTCAAACTTGTAGCAGTCGAGACACGCATCTGCGTCAGGACAAGCCGAGTACAGAGCTGGAGGGTAGACAAGTTCGCTAGTAGCCACAGGTGTAGGCGACACTGTCGTGGTGAATGGAACAGTTCGGTTGTAAGTGTATCCAGCCCAAAGACTTGCGTATGCAGATTGCCCATATTTGCCGTCGTTGCTAGTAGTGGCCCTTGTGTTCAACGAGTAAGTCGTGTATGTGACATTGGAAGGCAGTAGCGATTTTGCCTTGGTGTAAGCTGGAGCAAAAGCACTGGCGAACGTGGCCGGAGCGGGGATGGGAGTCGCATAGCGATTGCTGCTAACTTGAGTATAGCTGAATGAACTGTAGCGAGGTGTGAAGCTCGTTGAAGCACAAGTCGAAGCTGATTGAGCCTTGTGTTTTCATCAGTATAACCATTGGACGATATTGGTGAGTTTTCATACAGAGGTAGCCCAGGGCAATACAGTCTTTGCACTCGTACTGGCAGTACCTGTATATGTGCTAATGCTGCTCGTGATACACGAAGATTTGACCCTCTGCTTGGGGAAAGCTGCTGCCAGAGTGCACAGAAGTGCGAAACACAGAACGAGAAAGTTGATCATGCTAGGTTTTGATCTCCAGGGCATTGCATGGCATTGACCCTGTTCTTATAGTCGCTCGATGTTCTTCGACCATCAGGGCACAGTGACTTTTATCTCCAACCTGAACCTAAAATCAATGCCCTCGGTGGTGTGGTACATATGCCGATGCACAGTGAGGGGTAATTTAGGTCATCGTTTTGCTCAGACTCGAAGAGTCGGGAGGTGGACATGATGGCAGCAACATAAGTGTGCCTATCAAGTCTGTTCAGTTCCAGTACTGTACATCCAGTCTGTGCAGTTGAGTGGTCTGCGGGTGGGCACGGCCGAAATGATAGTGTCAAAAGTCTATATCGACCATTTTGCGGAGAGGTGGAGGGAGGAAATGTGGGGTGAAGATCAGAAAGATTGTGTCAAAACAAGCGACGGATGCTTAGCAACAGACAGGCTTTAAGGGATTACTCAAGCCGCACATCAGAACCAGAAAAGCTAGGTGACTCCGTAGGGTGTCAAGGCGTCAGAAACGTTGTGCCGTGTAGAAATCGTTCGTGATGGAGCGCTATTCTCCCCTTGTGCTAGGCCCAATCACAGTGTAGCTATGGAGATGCACAAAACTGTCCATGAAAGAGTGAGATCCACGGAGAAAAGTTTATCCATTGGTATCTCCATAGCCACATGTTCGTCCGGAAAGTGACCATGCGTCTTTATAGCACATAACGACAGCAAATGTTAGTGTGGGAGAACGGTCGATAGTGAGGTTGTGGCTATCTTTTGCCACGAGGAGGATGCTTTGAACATTTCCTCCAAGCTCCTCAAATGCACTACTGAAAGAGCAGAGATAAGCAGCTGCCAGTACCGCCAGTAAAGATGTGCACTTTGAAACATCTAGAAAGTTGACGAACGCAAGGCAAATGCTCGTCGACCGAGGATACCACTTCGAGACGCGACAACCAGACTCAGAGTGGCATGCATAGGAATGATTGCATCGACTTTGATAGTTCAAGCAGGCATCGTCGAGGAGCGGAGAGTTGAACCAAATGTGTTGACATACTTGCACCAAGTTGCTGTACTTCATGTTGAGACCTACAGGACGCCAAGGCAGATGTTGTGTCCTGCAATGTACATGGCAAAGCAAGTTCCCGATGGTGGATCCAGGTTGCAAGTATTATTCCGGAGGCTGGGATATAGATTGGTGGCAAGACCAACAACACGATCAAACATGGAAGTCAAGTAAGTGGCACACGGTCACACCCACACAGCCAGCCACGGAATAATTGCTACAGTACATATCCAATGACACGGCCTTGGTGAGTTGGCACCAGTGGAAGAGGTTGGGAGCGGGTAACAGCCAACCAGGGCAGGGCGTATGCGCCGATCAAGTGCGGTGACGAGCAGAGAAGATTAGGTTGGGTTACATGTGCATCACACATCGTGCGCGGTGCAATGATGCGCACGAGTTCTGGACAGTCGAACAAAGAGAGCAGGGAGTTGTGGCGAGGCGCAGTTGAGCACGAACAGGATAATACTGACAGGGTATGGGGCAGTAGGAAGAGAAGAGCGAGCAGGTTGCGTCCCATGCTTGAGCGTTGACCCGGCAGCGGAAGTGCGGGAAGCGCATGGCGTGCAAAGCCTACCATACGAACCACTCAATTCTGTTCAAAGGTCGCTTGTGGGCAGCATCTTGCTTCTGAGTCGACCGATCCTGCCGTAGCTGCAGCAAGCGTGCTTGGATCCTGCTCCTGCCATCCTGCATCGTTTCACGTCACTGCAATTTTGCCAGCATCCAAGAAAACAAGTCGAGCATTCGCAGCTGCCAAAAACAAGCTCTTGACGGCGCGTCGGGAAGCAGCCGACTATCTAACGGTCCATATCAACATTCTCCACAAAAAGGTGCCGACTCTATCACAAAAGGCCATGGCCATGGTTTGTCGCGTCGTTTGCTGATTGGCGGTGGGTAGCAATCAACACTTCTGCTCTCGGCAGACCTCTCGACCTCGACAACCTTGACTGTTTGTCGCATCTCGAGCGCCTCACGGACATTTACAGGCCTTCATCTAAGCAGTTGCGGCTGGAGTCTAGGGAACGACACATTTGCGCACCCGGATTGGCAGCGTCTCAGACCATCACGACCACTCATCACCCGTCGGGCTGCAATGAAAGTCGCATCCTCGATCACGTAAATCCTGCTGAGCAATCGCCGCCGCCATGGGTGTCGAAGCTCATCAACGACCACCACTGCCTGCACCCACTGAACCTACCGACGTCGACGACACCGATGTGGCCACCAACATCTCACGCCGTACCGACCAGACCTCCTACTCCATCCCCGAAGACGGCAGTCCCATCACCATCTCGACACACAAACTCACATCCAAAGAAGGCCCACGCCTCCGCCACGGTCGCAACAAGTCCCAGACTTCGCTGCTGATCGAGTACTTCGAAGCCACCAAAGGCGACAAGGCAAAGAACCGACCCAGTGTTCGCGTCAAGGTTACACCCTCGGCTCACCGCAAATCAAAGACGTCGGATTCTGTTCAGATTACCGGCATCGGTCGTGACAAAAAGCCATCATATACACGCCGCATCTCTCTGGGTTCCAAGTCGCCTGACAAAGCCGCGCCAATCGAAGCCACCGAGGTTAGCCACTCGTCAGGAAGTAACCTCTCGGCCATCCCTCCGGTCGAGGTCGAGATTCTCAACAACAGCGACCTATCAAGCCTGAAGCAGGACCGCGAATCCCGCGACTTACACTACCTTCCTACCACCTCGGACGTTTCGTCAATGCCTCCTGACAGCTTGCTAGAACCTTCTCATATCTCGGTTGTGACCCAAGATGCATCTGAGGAGGCGACCCGTAGCCAGAGTCTTCTGGACCTGCCTGTACAAGACCGAGCACGCAGCGCCAGCCACGAGCGCATCAAGCAGAAAGTCATCGAGAAGTTGATGCAGCGCCAGCGTGGGGATCCTGTTGAATATGAGCCCGACACCAAACCAACCAAAGAGCGCCAACGCCGCTCATCCCGCTCTACACGCGAAGATGACCTCGCTAGCGCCGCCGAATCATCCATATTGTCTTCGAATCTTTCCCCTAGCAACCTTTCGTACGCTTCTGGCACGACCTCAAAGGTGTCATTGAACAACCCAAAGCTTCTGCAGATGGTCGAGGACACTGTTCGCCGTCTGATCCTGCCCGAGATCACTCAATTGAAGAATGAACAGCGACGCTCCTCAAAGGGCTCATATACTGATGACGAGCTGGATCGGCGTCACTCCAAGTCTACAAGCTCACCCTCAGTATCCACCAAGCCCAAGGTCGTACTCAACCGCTACGATGACGACCCTGGCGAAGTGCTCTCTCGAGGAGACTCTGAGCGTCGCGAAAAAACTCGTCGGTCCAGTCGCACAGAATCCGAACGCCCCCGTCGTGAACGTCGTTCTTCGCGCACTTCGACAAGAGAAGAGTCTCTGCACAGCAAGTCAAGCAAAGACAAGGAGTCTCATCACATTAAAGAGGCTGCCGCTGCTGGTATCGCTAGTGGTGTTCTAACTGCTGCAGCCCTTCGTCATCATGACTCTCAGGACAATGTCAGTCGTGAACGTCGCAAGAAGCGCAAAGGACGAACAAGTCGTAGCGATTCGACAAGTCTAGTTGAGACCGAGAAAACATATGGCAAAGAAGATATTCCTCCTATGCCCTGGACTGGTGCATCGGCCATGAATGACTCGGAAGTAACCCGTCAGTCCATTCTCACAGCATCGACTGAGCGTCCTCAATCTGCTTCCCTTACGGAACGTCAGACTCCAATCCGCGAGGTTCGACGAGGCTCGCTCCGTGGCTCCTTGTCACCAGCATCTACAACCCCTAAAGGAAAAGGAGCTCGCTCGCCTCGGCCTCTGGAGCCATTCAAGGGCGGCCACCCCCTGACGGAAGAGCACGATACCGGTGTTCAATCCATCTCAACAAAAGCCAAGACGGCAGCATTAGCCGCAGCTGGCTTGGGTGGCATCGAAACCGTTGATCAATATCATGAAATTGGTAAACATGACTCGAGCCCCATGCAGAGCGTTTCCACTTTCAGAGATAGTCCCAGTGACCCTTTGGTACCCCATGGGCTGCGACCTCGCAGTAGAGTCTCCGAGCTATCTGCTGGTTTCGAGGAACGACAGCGGAACGCCATGTCTCCTGTTTCAGCGCCGATTTCTCCGAGTATTCAGAAGAAGAGCTTCGACCTTATTAGAGCCTCTCAGTCACCTGCACAAGTTTACGATGAGGCCGAAGAGCGTAGCGAGCTGGAAGAATGGTTTCAGCAGGAGCATGAGAAGAACGAAGAATATCGCAAATCTCTCGCAAGCACCATTCCCGAGACTCTCGACGAGCGCCGTCTGACCCAGTACACCGAAGGCAGCTACCTATCGAGCGAACAGAGTCCAGAACGTAACGTCAAGGGAGTTGCTGCGACGCCTCAGTACACGCACCTGCCCCATGGCGTCGAATCTGCCGTCGCCTCTCTAATTGATCCTTCTACGGTTAGCACTAGTATCCAATCATCCCAAGCAAGTCCAAGCAACTTTGAAGACGTTCGTTACCGCGAGCGGATGGACGATAGCGTGCGTGAGGAGCTTCATCATCAGACGATGGAACCTCAAACGACGGACTCAAAGATACAATACCCGACACAGCACCGATGGAGCGCATTACGTGAAAATGCTTTGGCTCTATCCAGCAGGGGCTCCTCTGCACAGCCCACAAACTCTCCTCACCAGAGCGAGACTTTCCATGAGGAACGCACGCACGCAGACACTCCTCCGGTCCGCTTGAGCGCTCATGGCATTCCTGATGCTAATGATCCCCTGCCTGAGATTGGACATGGAATTGACTCTGAGTCTGACTTGAGTACAAATCCTCCAGAGATCCAAGGACCTGGCCCAAGCGATGGACGATTCAATTTTCTGCCTTCATTCTCACACAGTCCGGAGAGAGAGGCCGTGCGACACGATAGTATCTCAGAGCACAGTTTCTCAATGAACGAAAAAGCCAAGTTGGGAGCCGGTATCGCTGCTGG